ATGAAGTCATGTATGGTATATGGGGCCATTCCGACCCGTTTTAGTGGTAAAAACAGGGAGTTGATTTTTCCCCCATTGACTTATAATGGGGAGGTCGCGAAATTGACCTGACCTTAGGTCACCGATATCAAAATTCCGAGATATACAAATTGCACATACTGGTACCCTAACTAAACCCTGAAGAGAAGAAATTGATCGGTCAAAAACTCTAGCTCTGGCGTGATTGCAAACTTTTCTGACGTAGGGTCACCAAACCGCCTCTGGTGACCTGACCTGAGGTCAGATCAACTCAAAATTTTCAGACATGTTGCGTAGAAGCCTTTTAGGAAAAGTCAGAAAATTTGAGCTTCCTAGCTCAACGCGTTTGGGAGAAATAACCAAAAAACCTCAGGGGGGGGGGGGGGCTCCTGAGGCCCCCCCCCGCCAGGAATAGGGTTAAACAGGACTCGCCCTTTCCGGCCCCACCTACCGCCAAAACACAGGCAAGTATCCAGAATCAGACATTCCTGCGCGAAATTTGACACTTCTCTGCTACTTAGGCATACAAGCTCGTCGACAGGCGGAAACGTTTATTTTTGTAACATTAATTTTCAACCGCTGCCGGGGGTTCGGAGCCGTGTGAAGTCTGTCCGCTGTAATTAGAGAGCTGTCACCGGAGACACCGGTGGCCGCCCCTCGTTATACGCGAAGAGGGATGCTCTCAGGAGTCGCTACTTCCAGGGTCACGACCCGTCGCACCCCCGGAAACCACCCGCCGAGGTGGCTGGGGAACGGCGGGTGCGGGGGTGGGTGAGGGGGGGGGGGGGCTCCGGGAGTCAGCATGCCACAGGAGGTTCAGTAGTTTAGTCATGTTGGCAAACTCTGGCGCTATGCCTGGCAATGTTAGAGCCAGGGGACTCAACTTGACTGAAAGTTGGGGCGACCGTTAATTACGGTTGACCCGTTCGACAGCGAGGAGTCCCGCAGTCGATGTCGAGCTGTTGGGTCGCTTTGTTAGATAGCGAGGAGTGGTCGAGCCATCGGTCACGCCAAGTCCGGAGGTTCGACACTTACCAGGTGTTCACCGGTAAGGGCGTGGCTGATCGTGTTAGCTCGTTCGTCATGGCTCGTTTATCGTTGTAAGAAGGGAGGCGTATCCGCCGTCTGTCCGCGCAGTCGATAACCTCTGGTGGAGGCTGGTAATATCCGTTCCATTGGATTCCTCACCCTTACCACTTTGCTCTGCCTTTATTTTCTGAGCATATTTACATGCGCAGGAGAGGTCTAATAAGCTTACCTCATTCAATGGAAACACTAATGTTCCGCCATAATTTGACCTCTCAACCCTCCAACACAAAGATCAGCTTGGACGACCGCCAGTCACGTGGCTAGATCAGAGGGAACGATTGCCGATCACGTGATTAGTTCAGAGGTGGTCCATTCCATCTTTGACCAGTTGCTGGAACCGACCGGACGTGCTCCAGTGATAGGTCGATTAGTTAGATCCAGTGCAGATGAAAGAGGCGGTTCGCTCGGAGATGCACGTCAGAAGTTTCCGCTAATTGAGCAGACAGTGAGCAGACCGGTGTTGTGGCTCACTGACCCCTCCCCTCCTCCCTTCAGTCCTCCTCCCCTTCTCCTCCCCTCCCACCTACACTGGAGGCTCCCCACCTGGCTCCGCTAATTTCCATCAAGATACGCTGATGACGGCAAAAAGCGCTAGCGTAAACCATTCTCGTGCAGTCACGCTCATTCAATGGAACATTGAAAGCGTGATAAAAGCTTACTGGTAATTATAATAAGCAGACTTCGATTAGACGTTTTAACCTTGAATTAGGCAGCTGATCAGCACAATCTAGCGAATACGGAGAATTGTGTCAAGTAAATTAGGACGTGATCCATGGATTGCTTTGTTCTCGATAACTCATGAAGAATACAATGGCGTGAGTTCTATACACAATTGTCTATTTTTATGCCAATGTTACACCACATGCGCCGAACATTATCCTGGCGCGCACACAGATGTTGCAATGGCAGCGAATGACTATACATCCGGCAAATGAGGCCACTGGATGTCTATGAATTCGTTCTAGAAACTACTGACCGGTGGCCATCGGACCACCTTGGACGAACGTGAGATCCGCTGTCTACATAATGATCACCGGATCCGACCATTGACGTCACATGATGACCGTGATGACGTCACAGTGCTGCAGTGATTTATTGGGCTAGGCGCGAAGGTGCCTGGCATACAGAGAATGGTGCATATTCAGAGGGCGAGGTGTCCAGTATCTTCAAAGTCAAATTTATAACGTTTTAGCTATTTAATGCATCATTGAATATCCCTTCTACAAGTTTTCTTGGCCAGTTGCTGTCGTATCTCAATAACGAAGCCTTTTCTGAATGGATAGGTATACTGTATAATTACTGGAGAAGTAATGACACATCAGCTTTTTACGAAGAAATTCTATATGAAAAAATGTTATGACGGTATGTACAACGCGCAGTTAAAATCAATGCATCATAATTTTCCGAGCAGTGTGGCCAGTGAAGAACAATGGAGATCATTGAGCTCGTGCCTCATCATTTCCGCGTAATATAGGTATGTTTTCCAATTATTTCAAGTTGTTCACTCGTGTACCCGTGTTGCAGTTCCGGTTACTTACACAAACGATCAGCAATGTCCCCGTGACTTGGCTAATGAATGCCACTTTCCTCACAGCAAGTACAGTATTCCAGCTAGGTATTCCTCATGGAAACGTCCAGTGGGATGTGTGCGTGATAAAGTCAGCTTCTGATATCGCTAACTGCTTGACTATCCATCCGCATGATCTTTATCGTTGGTTTAACATCACCAAACGTGGATTATCGTCGCCGGCTCAATGATTTTTTTTTCTGTGTAAGGAGAGGGCTATCAGACGCCAGGCTGTCTGTTCCTCCGCTCCTCTCCCTCCGCTCCCACCCTCTGCTTCCTTCCTGGAACAGCCGTCTGCGGTCGCGGCAGCGCCGGGAGACACGGTGGCGCCACTGCTCAGGGTGGTCGGCCTGACTCACTGCCCGTCCCGGCGCACCCCACACTCCCCGGTGACCCAGCCGCGTCCATTCAGTCGGCAGTGGGGGAGCAGACAGCCGACCCTGGGCGTGGCCCGCCGGAGCCGCCATCAATGAGCCGCCGCCGCCGCCGCGGCCGCGCGGTCCCTCCGACCTGTCTGAGAGCCCGCTCAGTGGCAGCGGGCGGGGTCGGCAGCCACTTCCTCATGTCCCAGACACCGGCGGCGGCGCGACCACTTTGATCCTAATTTGCGGCACCGATCTCGGTCAAGGCGGCGCCACGGGGAGCCGACGGCGGCCTTGGGCGGGCTCCCAGGACTCCGCCTGGCGTGGGGTACTAGCCGGATCCGCCCGCGGCGGGCTACCGGACCCCCTCACCCCCTCTGAACCCCCTCCCCTGGGCGGTCGCCGCGGCGTACCCCTCCCACCGACCGCCGCGACGGACAGGGCCGGCCGGCGCGCGCGTGCGGTGTCGATCTGATACGGCGGGAAGGGGACACGATTCGGTGGACAGTGGACACGGTCTGGTGGACAGTGGACACGAGATAGAGGGCAGTGGACACGAACAAGTGGACACCATTCATGAGCTGCATGGTCCGGTGCCGTAGACGGTCGAGAAGCTTAGGTGCGGTCCGGACACAGCGCACGCCGCATGACACCGTTCCAGTGTCACGTCGGTGTCCCTGACAGTCCTCAGGCCATGGGGGTGATCAGAGTGACATGACGTACCTCATAGACTCGGGTTGCAATGTTGCATGTTAGGCCGACAACTAGTCGTTCTCCTTGATCTCACATATCGGTGCAATGAAGTTCGTGCGGCTTACATTAAAAGCTCAAAGTAACAGCGCATGACTCATTTTCCTTGTGACCTTACCACGATCACGAAACGAAAAGAAAAATGCTTTCTGTTTCTTCCCTGCTCTCTCGAGTTTCAATAACTTCACCAGTAGCAGCCTGAAGGCTCAGTGTGAAGTCCCCGCCTCTCGGGGATTCTTCCTCGTCTGAGCGCTACCTGGCTGGTGTCCAGCCCTGTCTGGCACCTGAGGAGGGGGGGGGGAGGGTCTACCGAGAGCTGTCGCCGGGTACACTGGACGCCTTCCATCCTCCCCCTTCGCGACAGACGGCCCCGCGGACCGATAATGGCCCTGACCACCGGACCCGGGTATAGACCGGTTGATACACATCACGGCAGAGTGATTTACCGGTGACGCGGGTCCGCTCGTCCACAGCGGCAGGGGAGGGGGACACAGGACAGACCAGCAGCGGCGGCGGTGGCGGTGGGGCGCGAACCGGGCTGCACGGCAGGCTCCGAGTTCTCAGTACCACACAGCAGCTGTTGGCGGGTACAATGAGATAGCAAAGTGACAAACACGGTATCTGATTAACAGCTGGGAAACACTTCGACTGCAAACCGACCAATGGTCTGCACAAACTGTGGAATTCTGCCCATCGTGTTTTCTTGTGTCTTTGTTGGAAGCCGCCGAATGAATTGGTGACGGTCTAATTGGCAAAATAACTGCACCGCATGTCACGCTGGCCGAACATCTGATCAATCTTTATCACCTGAAACTAGCGAAACTGCCCCGTGGTCGAAAACTCCAGCTGTCCATTGTTTTCCCTATCGCTGTATTGTGTATCGCTCCACGCCAATGTGGCAACACTTGTGACCTTGGTCTTCATTCTGAGTGTGGCTACAGGGCATATCGCTGAACGGTGGACCTATAGGTATCGCAATGAACTCTACACACCAGTGTCACCCTGACTCCCCCAAAACGACACAAAGCATTGGTAGGTACCCTCACCACCAGCTATTTCAGACATGATTGATAGGTCAAAACATCCTATATTTGACTGAGCCAACGCTCTGTTACATAATCCCTTGTTGTATCAGATCATCTAATCTATACCATGATTGATTGACCCCTGACCTGATCTGCTCAAACTAACGACGTTGTTCTTTTTCGTTACAGATTAAGGGCTGGTCCCCGACTCACTTCAACGTCTTCAAGATGTACTCAAGTCTTCTGTCCTTCTCAGCTTTGGTGCTGGCGTGCTCAGCGCTGCCCAGACATCAGGTAAGCACTAAAGCACACATCTAGACACGAGGCTGGCCTATACAGGATCACATACCATTGATGCCTTGCACGCCCACGAGAGTGTTCGGCTGCAGAGTGGCTTCTGGTCATCAGATATACGCTTAGGTGTCTCGGCGCGGCTTTATGATTCATTCGCAGCGTTTGAAGGGACGGGATAAGCAGCTGCTGTGAGTAGGGGAGGGTACGCCCCTGACCCGAATGATCCTCTGTAGCCGATAAATGGGTCCTAAAACAGGTCAAATGATGTCATTTGAGTCCCTCCAGGGGCCGCACATTTCTCACAATCACTGCGAGTTGATTGCTCTATGGAACAGATTTTATTGTCGTTGCTCACAATTGACGTTAAAATAATAGCGTAGATGACGCATGATGTCACGATATATTTTCATACTTCAATTTACGTCTGACAGTTATATCATATTTGGAGGCCATTGCCTTTATTTGGGTTTATCTTTGTCGGATTTTAATTAAATTTAATCGTCACATGACAAGTCACATGACAATGCCAATTAAATATTCGTGACACCACAAATTTATACGGTGAGACACGCGAGTAACTTTCGCAGATATTTCTTCTTCCTAGTATGCCCTAAACACGCAAACGCAGCTATTCCTCATCATATGTGCGGGCCATCAAGTCGCCCGTTTCTGCACCAAGGCAGCTCCGTTACTGGGCGTGGCACAAACCGAATTAGGGCACATATCGCCCGAGTCTTATCGGTGCCGCTTTTGAAAGTTGACACCGCGCGTGCTCAAGGCATTATCTCGGCCGGATTGTTATCAATAACAGACGCCCTGGCCAAAACTCCCGTGGTGCAACTGACGCCAGACGCTCGATCTGGGCCAGGGGGTCTGTGCGGCGACCAGACGCCTCGTTTTGAAACTGCTGACGCGGCCGATAATTTATGGTGAGTCTGGGATGACTATAGCAGCTGAGCGGTGGCAGCGGCGGCGGTGTTGAAAGGCCGACACGTAGGTCTGAGTGGTAGCCGGCGGCAGTTCGGGACGGTCATGAACCACCCAGCCCGACACCTCCCCCGCACCCGGCGCCCCGGCGCCCCGGCGCCCCAGGCGCCCTGGCCGTTCTCTGGCGCCCCGCCAGCTCCAGCTGCAATCCGAGGCCGCTGCAGTCTGTTGCGATACCCCCAGTAACCGGTTCTCGTATACCGGCCACTGGCGTGATGGCGGCGACTGGTCGACAGCGTCTGGTGATACTATGCAATGGACAATACGTGTGGGCTGTGGCCAGTGACCTGTCACCATGACCTGTCATTGTGACCTGAGTCACCCGTCTAACCGCTGTGGACCTCTCCTGACATCCCGTCTGCTGTGTGATCCATCCATCCGTCCGTGACTGTCCATCGAGGACAGGGCCCGCCCGACATCTGCCGACTAATTAATCGATACCGAGAGATCTGATCAGCCGCCAAGGTTAGCTCGCCTGGACGCGAAGACCGTCTCACCGGACCGATCCCTGGACTAGCGAAGAGCGCTGGACGGAACACCTGGTGTGCTACTCCCGCAAGAAGGCCATAGCAACCGACGGCTGGTGACAAATTTACCATCAAGGCGGTAAATTCAGCTGACAGAATTCATGTTTGTCATTAAATGGCTGCGAGATCGATGACTCCCAGGTGGCTGATTTCAGTTCTGGTAATCCGTCTAAGTTTCCTCATGCATTTCCATATAAGGAATAAGCTGTCGAATTCCATAATTTGCTGAGTCGCGTCTCTGCGTAAGTGTGGAGTTTTCTTATGTATCACCACTGATAGCAACGGCAATGCGAACGACTTCTGAGACATATATTCTCTAATCTTTTGTAGTCTGAACCTATCAATCGTTTTGAAACCTTTTCAGTCTCCTGTAAACCTGATTCCATCCACTCCCACTAAATTTGGCCGTCTATCTAACTCACATATCCTTATGTTTCGTCTCTGTGCGTCTCCTATCATTCTCTGAGTGCTCTGACAATCCGCTGAATCGGACGGTTCTGCAACAGTGGCGGTGAGAGCGAGAGGCCTGCTCGGCGGGGGGCGGCGGCGGGGGCGGGGGCGGGGGCGGCGGGGGCACACTCCGTGCAGCCGCTCATTAGTGTGGTCATGGGCGGGTGTCCAACCGCCGGTGCCGAGCTAACGTCGCTTCAATGCTGTCGCTACTCCAAAAGCCCCTGGATAGCGCTATATTGACAAGAGACCGTAGACTTTGTGTCATAAAATGACAGCCTAAAACTGTCGGTTCAATTTAGGTGGTGGAGGGTGGGGATAATGTGGGCAGCCGGTGCACGAACAGCAGCCTACATAGACTGCAGCGTTTACTTGTGACGGCTGCACCCGACCAGGCTCGAGCTGCTGAGGTTAACTCTGAGGTCACACGGAGGCTGAACTCCGCGGGAGAGGCCGATCACGATCACCCAGTCAGCGCCGCGGTTCGTGACTGTCTGCCGTGCAGCTGCCCTGTAGTCCGGTCAGCGACTCGGCTGAGGTAGGTACACGCCCGGTGTCTCTCACGGACCAGACTGCTGGACGGCGCGGCGGAGCAGCGCTAAAAAATCAGTGTACAAATTACTGAGCAAAGGCTCGATACTGAGCTCGGGACGGGCGTTCACAGAGCGTACCTACCTCGGCGTCACCTAGGGCGCTACGCACGCCGCGTTTTCATCACCTCCAATGGGCTCTTCATGGGCGATGAGTTTGCATCACCGCAGTGATATCGACACGGCCGCTGAGTTAAATAACGGCCCTGCGGTTTCCCTGATGCCGGCCTTGGCACCCGGAAGGCGTAAAATAGTGACAAATGACGACCTGTTGCGCAAGTTACTGCAATGGTGATGTCAAATCTGGACGCGTTTTAATGATCAGAGTAAGCACGAACACACGCTCTGTGTTGACTTTCATGACACGGTCGGTAGCTTTTGATGCCCGCTCGGCTATCTGTATGTCAAAGCGGAGCCTCAGAACTGCCGATTGGGACTCGTTTTTGTTTGACAGGAGTCAAATACTCGGGACTAATTGCTGACTTACCCGACACGGTCTATTGCAATGGCAATAGTTGAGCACAGGCTGCTGCTTCATTCAGGAAGAGAGTGAAGATAACAATAGACGGATCGCTAAAATTCAATTACTGAAACATCACGGAATGTGTCAGATTCCTTTCATTTTCACAAATTGTTCATTCATAAGGCATTTGCCCAGCCATAGTGAATACCCCCTTCACTTAAGCGTAACCAGTTTGTGTTGAAAGGATGCGATCACCACCTTTCAATATATCGGAGAAAGTGAGTCGTTCGAGTGTGGGTGTCGGCGTTCTCCAGTTAACGGCTGTCCCTAGCTGACCGGGTCCGCTCCGCCCAGACCAGTCGGTACCGTCAGATCACGTCGCAATCGCCGCCGATGCAATCGCCGCGTCAGAAATGTCATTTGGTCGCCCAGGTGCGCAGAAAATGTCAGTGATCGTTTACTACATCGTTGAGAAATCAACTTTAAAACGTTCAGTTCGCGAACTATCTGAAGTGATAGCGTTTAGCGTAACGCACCAGTTTTTACTTTCTTTAGATAGTTGTCTCTTACGTTTACGGGGCCTTATCAAGAATGTGGGCTAGACATGATGGCTATCACCCACCGGGACCTTGAACCGCGTCCGAGCGGCATTACATTAGTCAAATGTCCTCCGAATAACAAATCTTTGGGGCTTAGACGTTATCCAAGAATATAAACACGTTTCCGGATCTCTAGAAAACGCAGGTAGTAAGAAGAATCGTTGTTTCCTCATATAGACAACTCAGCAATGTAAACATGATCAGACTGGTTGTCACACAGCTTCTTGTCTACCTACCTAGAACTGATCGGGCGCCCCTTCTAATGACTTACCGGGGAGGAAAACAGCGGTCAACACCCCATACGTCCCCGTCCGTATTCCCGGCAAACATATTTAAAACTGCACAGAAGAAGTAGTCGGACGTGTTTTCTTTTGCGATTTATTATCGAGTTAATCAGCGCATCGATTATCCTCGCCAGCGCCGATCGAAGCGTGTCTGCTGGAGGCGAGCTGGCTGTTTTTATGCTGAAGCAATGGAAATCGTCTGTTATTCATTCAGTTTTATGCAGAAGCTGTGCGGCGGGCCCGGCTCACTCAAGGTCCCGCAGTGGAGAGGGAAGTACGCCACCGGGGACGACCGGTCGCTGACGGCGGGGGATGGCGGCGCATAGGGATCACAGAAATTGAGGGAGGCTATACATCAGCTTAGCTGTGGCTGGAGGGGGGATTTAAGTGATCTTATTAGCAGTAATAATGTAAATATGGAATGCATTCTTTCCAAATATTCTTTTTCTGTGTAAAGAATATATCGTAGAATGGACTGACTCTCTACATTGTACTCTATTATTTTTCGAACTGCCCGCTGTTATTTTTTTCTTCTAAAATTCCCAGCCGAATACCTGAACAAAAAAGTATCCAATACTTATTTTCCAAGTATAGCATTCCACTCCCATCTGTTGCCGCCAGTTACACCGAAATGGCGAGTTATGCAACAGGTGCTCCATTCTACTACCGGAAACTGGCAGCTCCGGTGATGCGTGGCTGTGGAGTGTGTATTTTAGGCCGCCTGCTAACCACACAAAGCCACGCCTGTGGCCAGTTGATGTTATCACTAGCCCACACAATACCTACCTTGCTGAGGAATTTCACCAAGGAAGTATTCCGGCACCTGTTGAGCTCCAGCCCTGCGGCAGTTCACACTCTGAGAGCTGCTTTGTTCCGACAGAGCTCGAACCAACTGCGGAGGCTCACATGGTAAAAGGTCATTCATCAACACTAACGCCACGTGAGTGCCGTACGAGCACGCTCTCAGTTGCGCTACTCTGCCGTCGGCGGTGCGTTTTCCACCGACTCCTCAGATAATAACAGACCTCCGGAACTGACAGCTCCCGTGAGCCAGCCCGGCGGCCTGAGAGCCTCCTGGCCGTCCAGAGGCACTCTAAGGTCCATTGCAGTCTGTTTTGTTTCATGTACCGTGGCCGGAGCTCCCAGGACTTATGTTGGTTGAATGGTAGCATGGCAGCTACCTGAGGTGCTGGTCAGCTACCAAGCTACGGAAGTAACCATGACAGGTACCTCAGCTACCTCTCAAAACCAGCGTTGTGCATCCTCTCAGCACTCAACACCAGACATAGCCCAAATTGTTCAGCCTATCCTGCAGCCGCCGCCGCCGTCTCAGCGCTGTCTCTCTCCCAGCTAACCCGTCTCTCTCCCATTATCCCGTCTCTCCCAGCCAACCCGTCACTCTCCCAGCTTCCCCTCCCTCTCTCAGCTACCCCTCCCTCTCTCAGCCACCATCTGACCGCGGAAGTAGCCGCCGACATCGCCGTCCGTCCGCTGAACGGCCACGCCGCGACAAAGGCCGCGCCGGGCCCTGTCCCATGGCCTCGTGAGCCGAGGCGTGTTCCCATGGTATTGGCTCACTGATACGGTGGGAATGGCACCTGGTAGCAGCGGCTGCAGCCGGGGCTGCTGGGGCGGTGGTGACACCCTCGGTGACTTTTGAAACCGGGCGCTGGTACGGTCTTTGGGACGTTCTCAGGCGGGTATTGGGGTGATTGGAATGAGCTGATAGATGGGTACAGAGTGATTGGCGTATGTGTGGTCATTTTCAATAGGACTGGTATTGTACCCCAACATGTAACGTGCTGCGAGGCTGTTTATTGTCGAGCTAGCATGATACCGATGTGGTCATATGATTATAAATGTTGTGCCACAATATCGAAACTGTTGAACCACCGCTGTCGTCGGCTTGGGTTGCCAGTTATATCGATTGAGCCTGTAATGCCAGGATCATGCAGTGCTTTTGGACACACCTCGTTACAAACACCTGTACAAAACGATCAGTCACGAGAGAATGCCTGAACATGTCATCATCACCCGTATTACTATTCCATTACGCTTCTGTCGATAGCCCGAGAGATTACTGGGTTTGAACAACTAACTGGCTGACTGTTTTGTAATGCTTGTTTAACGGACCTTTGTACTGACCGAGTGTTTTATTTTTCAGATCCACATGGCACTCTCGGAGAGTGAGATCCGATCGGTATTTGATGCCGAGTCACATAGTGAAGGTGAGTCCTAAAAGGGGCACGGGATGGGACACGGGACACGGGACGGATCACGGGACGGGTCACGGGACGGGACACGGGATGGGACACGGGACGGGGCACGGTACGGGTCACGGGACGAGACATGCAGGACTCACCATGACTGGGTTGGTGATCTGGCCCAACACCAGCACCGGTAAACCCATTGCACCACTAGCCACCGACGCAGAACACCGTCCAATTATACGCGGTTCACCGCTCATTGGGTGCCAATAGTTTGAACCAACGACTCACCGAGCCGAGAAGAGGCGCGCTCTGTTCCGGACGGTGGTATGTGTAACTCTGGGTGGCGGACCCAAAGATCAGTGCCGTGAACCGTTCAGACACGCAGGCACCTTATACCGGTGGCACTCAGACACGCTAGTTGCCGCTTACCAACGGTCGGTCTGATACATTCATATGCATGAGTCAATCGACTAGTCGTATCAAACCGTACAATCGGCAGTGGGTTTGTTTTCATTTCATTGCAACATTGATTCAAGCATGCATATGCAGTGGATTCCAAAGGTGTGCAGTTCTTAGGCAGTGTCAATGTCGGCAGGATGCTATCTGGTTGCTAACCATGTGGGCTATCCATCTTTGTGCTGCTAGGCAGCGCCCCAAACCCTCCCACCAACAAGACCGTTGTTGCTCTGTGAGGAACTACATAGACTAAGTTACAGCTGAGGTCAAGCCCATCAGCCATTCTACAATCGTCTTCCGGACTGAACCGACAGCTGCGTTTATTAGCACGGCCGCAGTTTCTCTCTCTCTCTCGGACCGCTATCATATACGCACGGTGCCGTGATTCCGATGGCCGCTGCGATTATCGGCGGCACCCACGACGCCTGACCGTCACGGCAGCTCAGCTCATCTAAGTAGCCCGTGTGGCCGACTGACTGGCGGCGGGCGGGCCGACTTTCGCCCGGGGTCTCTCCTGCACGCGCTAGTGGCCACAGGTGGAGCCCTTGACTCTGACGCGCCGCTGCGTGCCTCGGCGCTTCGTCGGACCGACACACTGACCACCCCGAACTATCGAAAGTGAAATCTCGGGTGAGAAAAACAATGGGGCGTCGGCTGGGGCCACACGTGATGCTCAGACGTATCCGGTGACGTGGGCTGCGGATGGGCGAGCAACGGAACAGGGCAGCAACAGACAGACATGCGAACCTGAGGAGGAGGTGCTTGCAGGGTCAGTCAAGCGGTGATTCCCAGACTTCGCGCCTGGCTTCACACTTGATATTCGAATAGATAATAGTTCAGCCAGTTGTAGCATGCAGAAGGCACACAACCTTATATCCGCCACGGAAACACTGTAATTCGATACAGCTGGTAATTTATTAAATGAGATAAAATGGGGACATTTGCATCAAGCAGTAGAATTTGCGATGGGTGTATTCGAAGTGAAAATACTTATTCACGAATATCGCCTCCCAATTAGAATTGAGTTCGATCTAACGGTAGAATTATCCAGGCACAGGTGGCACGATTGTCATGCCAGGATTACCCAGGTAAGTACCGGCCGTGAGTTCAGCGACGACAGGAGACAGCTCTGCTCAGCCAGTCTGTCAGATCTCCGTCCGTCGCTATCCATCGGTCGCATTCGCGTCGGGTCTGCACACGGCGCTCACCGCATACAAACTACCGGCAGCACCCGGAACTCGCCTATCGAGGAAGGTTACCACAACAGCCGCGCGCGCGGCGCGCCTCCGCGGCTGTCTCGGTCGGTCGGACCGGTACCCCGCCGTCAGAGATCCTGTCAGACGGCCACGCGCCGGCCGACGCGTCAGCCTGAGTGACGGCAACACGCGGGCAGTGATGGGGAGTGACGTTGGCTGACGGAGGGTGATGTTGGTTTACAATGGGTGGCGTCAGTTGACGAGGGCTGACATCAGCCAATGCCGAGATCCGGCTGATGTCGAATTCTGCTTGATATTTGATTCCCGATGATTCCAAATGTCCCCCGGTGCAAAGCAGAACCTATGGTCAAAAGATAAGAAGTGAGACAGGCCGATGACCGGCCGCTGAGCACTCTGTTTCTTTGAAGGCCGTTCGGCGTGCATGCCACAGCGAGCCTCAGAGACACAAAGGCCCTCGGTTCTTTGAGATGTGGACCACGCCCAGATTTAATTGGCAACTACTGGAGGCGAGTCGGGAACTAGAGGGGCCTTCCTGGGATCCAGACTCCCAAAGCACGGCAAGACGACTGCGACAGTGACCACTGAGGCATGCATACTTTTTCAGATAGATTCGGTGGTAGGCTTCGACGCAAGGCGATGAAGTTATCGATGACATCAACAAATACCTTGCCTGTTTCCAGTTAAGCTTGCGTTTTAGTGGCCCACCCTTAAGCCCAACTGTGCAGATGACGTGATTCACTGGTTTCGTCACCGTCATCACACCGCACTGTCATCCGGCGTCACCTCTGCAGAGTCACCGTCATCCCGCGCACTGGAGGCGCTGTGTCTGTCACTCGGTCTATAGACAATAGCGCGGAAAAACGCGATTAGACACCTTTGAGTCGGCGGACAATGCACCGGTGAATAGACGCACTTTTTTCTCAGCAGACGACCGTCAATGGTAAGCGAATTGAAGAGCCGAGTGCCTCCGGTGGCTGGAGCCTATCGGTTGTGTCCGCCGGCGCTGTAAAGGTCGTGGACCTGCAGAGGAAGACGAGCGAATCGTGACGCGGCCGTCACGTCTGCCTTACAAACAGGTCTTTGTAAACGGTCGCCGATTGCTGTTTGTCGAGTGATTAACTGATCAGGAAACGAGCCGTTGCTGGTAAAATGATGACAATCCCCGCTAGCTCGCCTGAAGCGGTACTGAGTGCAATAATGTTGCTGGTTGCAGCAGCTTGCTCGGTGATTTCCGGAAGACTGGTACGGTATGTGGCGCAATTTGCAATCAGGCAGCGATTTTCATATTTTACACGGCTCAGCAGTCGCTTATGCTCGTAAACTGTCAATAAATGTCGATCAGTTGCAACCCTTATGATGTTTCATTAATGATGATGGAAACAGGATTGCTAGAAGCAATCGGAGAGAGAAAGAGAGGGAAAGAGAGAGAGAGGAGAGAGGGAAAGAGAGAGGAGAGAGAGAGAGATAGAGAGAGAGAGAGATAGATAGAGAGAGAGAGAGAGAGAGGGAGAGAGAGAGAGAGAGAGAGAGAGAGAGAGAGAGGAGAGAGAGAGAGAGAGAGAGAGAGAGAGAGAGAGAGGAGAGAGAGAGAGAGAGAGAGAGAGAGAGAGAGAGAGAGAGAGAGAGAGGAGGAGAGAGAGAGAGAGAGAGAGAGAGAGTGGGAGAAGAGGAGGAAGAAAATTGAGGACATCGAGTGCGGTGAAATACTGCAGTTACTTAGGTTTTATTGGATTCCTCCCCATCCTTTCTTGGTCTCTTTTCTTTATCTCGCACTCCTTCTCTTCTCCCTCTGTCCTTTATTCTTTACCCACTCATGTTTTCCTGCTATTCAATACTGTGTGTTACGGGCTTTAAATAATATCAGTTTTATCTGTCAAGACTGGCTATCAAGTCATCAAACTCTGTCTTTTCTCATTCAAAAAGTCATTTTCTCTGTCAAGACTGGTTATCAAGTCATCAATCTCTGTCTTTTCTCATTCAAAAAGTCATTTTCTCTGTCAAGACTGGTTATCAAGTCATCAAAGACATGCTATTATTTATCCATTTGATAGCGCGTGTTTCACGGCAGAAGGCTGTTAGTCACACTTCGATCTTTCACCCTTCTGCTGTTCACTGCTGCTCGGAACGCTCGGAACGACCAACACAATCACTCGCGGTCGCCCAGGGCCTCACCGGGTCAGGTCACGTGACCCATCGCCTGAGGCCGGCCATGGTGCGGGTCACCAGCCAATGAGCGGCCGCCTCGGGCACGGCGGCCCACGCGGTCGCCGGTCAAGGACGGATGTCCACAGCGAGCGGGCGTGGACCGGCAGATGCTGAGTCCTTCCTTTACAATATTATTGTCTCTGTGCCGAAGCTAACGCCGTCTGTTTGACGACTTTGACACCGTCTTTGTGCCTCAATCAACACAGGCCCTGCATCCAGAGTGACCATCTCTGTCTGTTTTTCAGTACCTGAGTATCAGCTGGTTAACATCCGGGCGAGAACGCGGCGGAACGCGCAGCGGGGCATTACAAAACAGGTGAGACCGCGCAGAGGGCACCGGGGATGGTGGAAGGGAGGCGGGTATGTGAAGTGCTTGACAATTATATTCAGTCGTAGTTTATAGTTGGTGAGTCATAGTTACCGAAGGAGATGAACAATCACATCAACTCCTCAAATGTTCTGGGAAGTCCCAAAACAGTCATAAATAGGACACAAACCCATGATGGTATTCTGCACCCACTGCTTCTAGCCTCTTCAATCAAATCAGCAGTCTTCAGCTCACGTATATCGGCTCCAAACGTTCCCAGCCGAGTATTTCAGCAGCCCGTCAGTGCCCGCGCTGCAGTCGCGGACAAATACTTTGACAGATGATACGACGCCGTTAATGGTTTTTCCTTGCAAACTCCCTCAAACTCTCCAGTAAGCCGGTCTTATCCTGCATGTCACGTATTTTGATGCTTTTGCGTGGGACGGACCAGGATGTGTCCACCAGCGCTGTTTAGCCCTGCCGGCTTTTCAGCAATATCTGCTGAAGCCATCTCACAAACAGAGCCGAATTCATCAATATTTGTTGGTCAGAGTAATGCTTGTACGACTGGAGCCTGAGATCTTAGCATGAAAAGACGCTGCGTGGTTACACTGTTTGGGCGTTGTTATTTGTCTCCGAATGTTTTTGTTTCGGGCTACCAGCCGACCTAACCTATTGTTCCTGCCCACTGGACCGGCTCCTGTCGTCCCCAGCCTGCCGTCAGACCGTCCCCAGCCAGCGGGCACGCCAGTGAGAGTGATCCTCACGGTCCACGGGGGGGAGGGGGGGGGTCAGTCATCCGTGACCATCGATCGTGAACGCTGCCCGCGGCACCGATAATTCGTATACTTATATACAGCCGAACCGGTGGTTTCACCAGACCTTACGAAGTGATCTACTGTGATTGAGGAGGATAAAGATTAGAGATCATAATGCATTACACAGCACGTTACTGTAAAATGAAATGGGTGACTCTCCCCGTTATAAGTGTAATGTGTGAAAATCATTGCAAATGATGATTATCGCTAATGCATCTGTGTGTTTCACTAACGGTATTTGTTTTCTTTTTCGCAGGTGTCTTTAGACGCCTTTGGAGAGCGGTATGATTTGAATCTAGAGAAGAATGAAGATCTAATGGCTGACCAATTTGATATTTTCTACGCGGACCCGATGGAAGACGGCCGGACGAGTTTCCAGCGGGCAGTCGAGGTGAGATCAATAAGAACCTCTCCTTTTATGGAGCCTCTCCTTTTATAGGCCATAGCTTTTCTCCATCACACTCCAAGGAAGCTGAAATTGCCGTTCACATCTCGACTACTTAGTGAAGCCTCTTGACATATAACCATACGATCGCGACAGGTGTCTTCTTGCCCAATGGGTCTTCTTACCAAAAGCTGTCCTCCACAAGCAATTCGCTCAAACCAAATATACACAGATGCATGCTGTGGGCATTTAGCACGGCAATGCACAGGGCACAATGCACATGCCTTTTGTTGTTGAAGACACCAACTACCAAAAATCGCCAACACATTCAGCTGAAAGAAGCGCAAAGCCGATTTCACGCCACATTGTTTTGAAAGAAGCCTTCTGCTTAGGCTCCCAAATAGCCGAACCCGTGTTGGTTGCGTGCCGCCGTGTCGCGGCTCAGCCTTCCTGGTGGCTGATGGGCGACCCTGGGAGTGCTGCCTGTTCAATTTCTCCCGACAAAGCTGCCCGCCGGGGCCAGCTCCGATCCGATGATGCTGCAACAATCAGAGAAGTGAACACTTCCCGATCCGGCCGCCGCACCTGGGGCCTGCCGTCGAACTGTGACGACACGATTAGTTCCGACATCAAACCACCTCCACCGCCGGCCCTCGGAACAGCTCGGCCGGGGAATAATTAGCCAGGACTAACGATCTGTGCGCGGAAAGAATAATCATCAGTTTGTTTCGCATAGTTTATCTCCAAATGGAAATAGGACGCTCAAGGACAGAAGCCTTCTGATGCGATCGAGGATTGAGGAAACGAGAGGACCTTGGAGGCTCCAAACTAGATTAGGGTCAGCTGGATCAGGTAAATGGCGGTCCGCCCGCTCCACACTGGAGGGAGTCACTCGGACAGTGACATTCCTGACCGGACACCGGTGGACACGAACGGGCACCTCGAGCTGTGACTCACGCCCTCCTGGTAAATGTCAACCGGAGGCGAGCCACCGAGGCGCGCGAGTAACCGTGAATCACTCAGCCGTCCTACTGAATGCACCGAAAAATGGGGAATCGATCGGTGTCATGAGGCTGCAGGTCTACCGGGGGAAATAACCCTGGATAACCATTAGCTGGCTCATGTCCATTGTAATGCTCACTGACCTTCAAACTACAATGGATGGGGTCGCGATGGCGTCTTCGATGTCTTCATTTCATAAACATGCATAATGTATTATGATGGCGTAAGCCTGGATAAATTGATGGCATTGTCTTTAGTCGCAAGCATCCTGCGCATGCTAATTAGTGTGTCGATGATTTTGGCGAGCTATGGCATGCATAAAGGAATGAAGTACGAACCATGTAGGTATACAATTCACAATCAAAATGTGAAATCATGCAAACAAATAAATACTGGTCGACTCAAAATTACGCTGCACATTGTCCGCACGAACACCATCATCTAGCATTGTATTGAATAACTATGACGTTATCCTCCCGCAGTGGAACTCCCTACCGGCCACCGTACCTGTAAGCGAGAATAGTTCATCGAGACACCTGTTCCGCACCTCCCTCCGTCCCCCATGCACCCTCCTCACGACCCGTTCCCCGATCGCCACCCATCACTGCGACACCCGAGCAGGGCCGGGCCGGCGGCTCGTGTGATCTATCGGGACGAGAAGCCCACGCCTATCTTTTCTAGGGGTGACTGCGCATAGGGGTGGTCAGGGGTGCCGATAACGGGCTGCGGAGGAAATGACACTCCGCTGATAACAGTGGAGGCGAGGGAGCAGCTGCGAAGGGTGCGTCTCCTCAGAGAGTGGTGACAAATGGGGAGACACAGGTTCAAGGAACTGACGTAATGTCACAACAGGTGTATCAGCTTCAGGAAGTGACGTCTGAAAGGTCGAGAAGTGTCACCGGTGAAAGACGGAGTGGTGAGCGTCTAGTTGACACGCGGTGAGCGGCTCGCACACGGAGAATGGAGCCAGCTCGGCACGAGCGAGCCACACATGGCGCACGAGTGGATCGGAGAGCCGCACGAGCCACGTGTCGATCGACAGAATGCGTGTTAGATATAGGGGGTATCAGACTGCGGCATGAGACGAACAAAGGGATTAATTGTGGGGAAGCTGGCGGGTCTACATAAGGCCAGACTTCTGTAGGATATGCTCCATCATAAACTTAACCGTAATCCTCTACCATGCAAACTCTACCATAATTCCACACAAACTGCAGGATTATGTTTAGCAGTTTTAGTGGTTTGCGTCTGAGCTGATTGGCGTGCAAGGGGAAAATAATGATTGACAGCCGGCGACGACTGTCATATAGCCTGCGGGAACGCTGTACGGTGGATTTGGTCTTAACCAAGCACGACTCTGAGCAGCACGTTGCTCTGACGGACAACAGCTTAGCAGCATGAAGTCACGAAGTGGATGTTACAGTCATTGTTTGCTGTATATGAGGAGGTATATTTATGGACTACGTCGGATATTCTACGACATGTAGCTTCCTTAGGAGACCCTGGCGGGACGTAAGCGTTATAAAAAAGATTGCTAAATTTCTTAACCAGAATAGTTTTCCGGCGGGGTACAATCAAGGTGGTACCTACATAATTTTTGATCGGTCCGTCTTCTATGCAACCCATAGAATGACCGTTAAGGGCACATCGCACCGACAATCAAGAGTCCTGTGTAATGCAAACACAACACCCTGAATTATCTTGCAACTTATCGCACCATTCACGAGTTGTTTGACTGGACAAAGCCCCGTGGTTATTGACGATGAGTCCATGCATGGATGGCAATTTTCCTCACAGAGCCTCATGATAAGCCCGTCTTTTGTAACGCCAGGCGGTAATAAGGCCTTACGAAAGGAGCAGCGGTGATTTGGCTTGTTAGCCGTCGATTTCAATTTACGATCAGCTGATCCCCTGACTCCCAGACGTCTCAGGCGTTCAACGGATGAGGTTGCGCGAGTCGTTACTTTCGCTGGGGCTTGTAGCGGTTGTACTCACGACCCTTAAATTGACCGTTGTTGGAGTATCGTGCCCGATTGAACATTGTGGGGATGTATTCTCGGCCGTTTTCTTTCATCTTGCATCCGTGTTCTAGTGTACCATGTTTGTATTAAAGCTATTGATTACATTACATTATTATGTTGTGCCTGCGGTCATGAGATCCAGCGTCGCCCTTAGAAACATAAATTACGGCCAAATAAAAGATACCCAGATAAAGTTAATCTACAGACAAAAATGTACAACTTGTGTCTTGCAGTGACCTTTTGTGACCCGTACCTAACTGACCTCCCCTCCCCTGCCGTACCCCAGGCGGAGCTGCTGGACGTGGGTGACCTGTACTTGACCTGCGCCCCTCTCGTTCCCCCAGGCGGAGCTGCTGGACGTGGGTGACCCGTACCAGGACCGGGAGGCCGACGCCGCCCTGCTCGTCCACCACGACCCTGAGAACGACGCCCTCCTTCTGGTGAGTACCGCGAGTGAACCCGACCTCGAGAACAGCCTCGAGCCGAGCTGACGCCAACAATGGCGGATTCCGCTCCGCTGACCCCCGGCTCGGCTCAGCCACCGTCCCCCGTCACGACCCCGTTACGACGGGAGGTGACCGCTGTCACGGTGTGTGACCTTCCTGTCACGCTGACCCCCGTCACGACGGGTGACCTTCCTGTCACAGTGGAGAGTGACGACGCGTGTCACCTGGTACGGAGCAGACACGAAGAAAAGAGCTCGTGTTTTCAGCAGCCCTTTTACCCTTCCACCTGGCACTAACTGGGTCAAAGGTCAGATGACCGATGTCAATCGGAGTGGAATAGTCATTCACTTTTGTTTTCGGCCAATCTAACTGAAAATGGGCATAATGGTTGTCAAACTAGAATAACTAAAGCATGTCAAATTGAAACCCTGTCACGTTCGCTCTACCGTTCACTGAAAACTACATATTGTTACTTCCGCCCCAACTTCCGCCCCAAACCACAAGAAGCCAGTTCCGCCATTCTCCAATTACCAGTCCTTCCGCCGTCCGCGGCTCTCCCACGCCGGGGCAGGCAGGGCTCCGAGCTGCGCCAGTAAATCACCCCCGGCATAGGACGGAGGCCGGCAGTCTGCTCTCAGTCTGAGGACCCGGCGTTAGTCGAGGTCAGAGGGCAGTGCCTCCGGGCTGGAGCTGCTTAGCTTATGTTCAGTCTGTTCAGAGTGTGTTCATTTTTCTTCAGAGCCTGTTCAGGGTCTGTTCACGGTTTGTTCCAATTCCGACCCCTCCGAGTGAACCCACCCAGCCCCGCCGACCAAGGTCTCGCAGCAGTGACCGTTTCAGCCAGTCATCGTGCACGATTCTGTGAGTCTGTCTGTCTGTGTGTCTGTCTGTCTGTCTGTCTGTCTGTCTGTCTGTCTGTCTGTCTGTCTGTCTGTCTGTCTGTCTGTCTGTCTGTCTGTCCGTCAGTCTGTCTGTCTGTATGAGAACGGTCAGAAGTGCTGGTTGGTTATTATCTACCCAGGCTCTCTGTTCCGTTCGTCCAGAGGCCGACCACACCCTGGTGTGCGGGGGTGGGCGACCACCCACCGTCCGCTGCAGGGGTGACAGACCTCCCAAGGCCGGCTGTCACAGTCGTCACTGCTCTGGCGGCTACCTTTTGACGGGAACCGTTTGGTGGGGTGAGACTGACGGGCAAACGGATCAGACGGGCTTCATTTCTGCCACATCCGGCTGCGTTCACAGGCGCGATAGAGTCCTCAGAGCAGCGGGCTCGTCCGCCGTCCACCGTCTATATCGTCCGCCGTCCACCGTCTATATCGTCCGCCGTCCACCATCCACCGTCCACCGTCCCGTCACCGTCCACCCACCGTCCACCGTCCACCGTCCACCGTCCACCGTCCACCGTCTATCGTCCGCCGTCCGCCGTCCACCGTCTATCGTCCGCCGTCCACCGTCTATATCGTCCGCCGTCCACCGTCTATCGTCCGCCGTCCACCGTCCACCGTCTACCGTCCGCCGTCTGCCGGCTGGCCGCTAAAACATTCCACTAATTCCTATACCACCACTTGTGGCACGCAGTGTTCAGTAGCTAAAGGTAGCCTGTGTTCAGCCGTCTGCTACCAATTATGTTTAATCACCGAGCTCAATTAAGCTTGATACTGTTGTAAATGGCTGGATTTTGTGAACGGAAGATTAAATCAGACGCTCTTTGAAAAAGCCGCTCAGCGATTCCGTTAGTTTCTGCAACAGGTAGTGAATCAGCATTCCTGTAATTGTAAAGAGTTGCGATATATCTGTGTTGCTTTCACGCCTTAGTTACTGCAAGAGCGCAAATACTCGCCCGTAGAATTAGTTCAGCCCCAACTAGCCAATCAAATATATCAGCAAGGTCAATACCTACTAAACAAGGTCAATACCAGCCAATCTGTCAATGTCACCTGCCACCGCCTTGACCTATCCGTTCCTATATCTCATCAACTGATTAGTGTGAGTCTTCGAAGTGCTTAGTGCACAGTTTCAGCATTCTGCTTGTCACAGAGTGAGCGGGGTACCTTCGTGCTTACTTCCAACACTAGGCATATCATACGTCGCGTCAGTGGCCTGGACCGGCAGTTACCTGCACCAATACCAGACGGTATCAACATCTCTCCCCGGCAGTGGCGAAAGTGCCCTGCTATCGTCAGCCACGTGTGGTTTCGTTACACAATCGAGCAGCGTCACAGCCGTCACGACGCGCCGAGCCGTCACGGATCGGTCGTCACTCGTCACTGTCACCCGCGTTACCGGCACGAGGCCGCACCGAGTCGCTTCCTGATGGTCACCGCTGTCTGCTACCATCCCGGTGTCCGAAGTCTCAGGATTAACGTCATTCGTATGGCTTCACAGACCATCGAGTGTGCCATGCGGGACAGTATACAAGCGCAGGCGAACGCCGAAACACTGAAAGCTGCCCCGGAATCTCCTATTCCACGCCTTGTGCCGTTTGAAAAGTCAGATTTCTGAGTTCAAAACAAAGCTCTGCACCACACCGTCCGACTGTCAGCGTTCGCTGACATATGGCCGCTGCGGTGACAGCGCTGCGCAGTGTGAACGTCGCTTTAGCTCCGTCAGCCGCCCGCCTGTGTTCGCTGATGCGGAGGTGTGTTTGCGCTTTGTGTCGTCTGTTGACGGCCAACGCGACTCTCTGTTGACCTGCAGAGAACGCCCAAGTGACTGGCAGAGCGGGTTGAGGTGCCAACAGCATGCGAAGTGCGGAGAAACTGAAAAAAAGACAGAGTGCCTGATGAAAACCAGCAGAGTAACGTATGCGTGCATCCGCATATCAATTTCTTCTTCTTATGAAACTGAGATAAAGTTTAGCTTGCCCAGCAGATGAACGCCATAAAATGCGTATTTCATCAACCAAATTCAGGGAGATAATTGCTCAGTGTTCGTATCGCCAACAGATGTAAGCTAGTTTCATGGAAAATGATGAACGACGTATGAATATGGACACAATCCAAAACCTACCTATCCATTTACGAGTATGTGTTCAAACTTACTTCTATTGCACAATCGCAGATCTTCCAAGGCATGTAAACAAAACACAGATAACATCTAAAGCATGTTTCTCCTATGAGCATCTGCGGTCCATTTTATGTCATGGACATCCAGACCACTATGGGTGAATTCCAGTTTTTATCATCTTAGATCTCTCCGATTACTTGACTCTGACGAGGTTTTCTATGAAGCTGTTGAGCAACAATCCCAGCTCCGGTACCCTCTGTCGCGGTGGCAGAGAGACTCGCTGATGTTCCTGTTACCCTGTGGGTGGTCGCGGTAGTCGCAGCGCCACCGGAAAAAGTGAGCGACAGACATGAAAAGTTCTGGGCGCCGGTAAGCGGCCGCATGCTGCGGCCTATGTGGTGTCGCCAGACTAACCACAGGAGTGGAGGCTGAAGGGGATCCGTTAGCTGCAGGTGGAGTCGGTAGACGGTTATGGCGTCTTTACCTCCGGGCGTCTGGATAACCACCTGGTGTGACGGGAAGCGCGGTTGTTGATTTACTTTACGTCACTTTATTGACTCGCAAGGAACAATTGCATTGCGCTATTCTGGCTTCATGCCGACCCAGTAAACGCGGTTTGATGAAGAGGTTCTCTTTGATTTCATCACCTCAGACGAGTGCAGCGCTGGGAGCCCGACCGTAAATAGGCGACCACATTTCCAGAGCGTCTTGTCTGAGAGCTTGGAGACGGCGGCAACTGTTGCATCGCCATCATTCTAGGCTATCGGAGCAGTCATCAGAGGGTCGCTCCGATCGAACAGAAGCGCCAGGACGGGTCAGACAGGATGGACGGCAGTGTAGTACACACTAGCGGCACCAACACGGGAGCAGGGCGGGACCGCCTGCGCTTCACTCCCGTGTATGTGGTTCGAATTCCCCACCGAGCTCGGTTAGACATATTGGTAGGATTAGGCCCCGCCCTGAATCTAGGCTGGTACCTTGCTAGTGCTGTGCACACATGTGCACCCACCTTCAGGATCAAATATCATCGCCATAATCTCGCAACCCGCTGCCGTGCCTAACATTTCTCGTATGCCGCGGCACACCGCCCCTCCCCGACCGCGGTCAAATCAGCTCCTAGCTGTGTCCGATAAGACGGCGTCAGACCAAACAAGTATCGCAGCTTGACGTCACCTTTCGTCGCCGAGTTGTTATGCTGCCGCCGTCTCCGAGAAATGCCGACTTCAGACAGTGTTGTGCCGGTCCAGCGAGCTGTCAATGGACGCCTTCTGTGGCCGGGGCTCGCCATTCTCAAACAGTGACCGGCGCCAGGACGGAGTAGCCCGTCTGCCGGCCGCTCGAGACGCGACGCGCCGGCGTCAGGCGTTTGCCGGTATCGCCGACTTTGATCGACAACTCCGCTCCGCCGCTGCCGCCGCCAGAGTTTGGTCATAACAAGCCGCTCGACAGCCACAGGAGAGGCGGCAGCGGCTTGTGGAGATGAAGCTGCGCGTGACGCCGGATCAACCGGAGCGTCGGACTGGTCACTGACCGCTAAGACCGGCTCTAAACGGGAGTCGGTCGCGCAGTGAGCGGGAATTTCCGTCATCTAATGCGCGGCTGGCAGTGGTTTGTCCACGGATGCCGCCTGGCTGGCGGTCTGACGCCAAAGAGGTGCCGCTGTGTCAAATTCCACACACGTGCCGGGCTCGGTGGGCCGGCGGAGCCACTCAGACGGGCCTCCAAGTCTGGCGAGCGGTCAGACCAGTCACAGATATCTGCTCTCGCGTCGCGACGGTGTGGGGAGACGTATGCATCAGTGCACCATCAGTCAACAGGGCCAAGGCTGCTTGGTAAGGCGATGCTTTCCATGCAGAACAGTTGTATCGGAGCGTGAAAAATGGGGCTGCGGAAATGCATTCCCGTTAAAGTTTATCGCGACTGATGTCTGCGGTTGAATGATTGTTCTCGTCATGTATGCTGTGATGTTTAGGTCGTGCCTCGCTCACAACATACAACCACTGATGTTTGTTCTCTGTGAACCTCAACACTTCAATATGTCCTTTTGTCGATGTCCTGCCGATCCCATTCACCTAGTCCATTCCAATGAGGTATCATGGTGTTCTAATTGGCCATGTTTCCTTTTCTCAGGACGGTACCGTGGGTGCCACGCTGGTGATCCGACCTGTGCCGGCATCTGCACGGCCCCAGATCGACCGTGAGGCTGAGGCCAGCATCAACGACCTGCCTCCGGACGACGAGTTCTTCCTGGATGAAGAAGAGAACCTCCAGGATGATGTGAGTAACGTTGAAGGGTGAGGAGTTTCTGGGAGTGACGGGAACACTTAGCGAAAGTTCATTAGAATGTAGGTAGAGTTGACATGAGTTCCGGGCAAGCCCAGCGGCCTGGTGACAGCCCAGCAGACATAAGATAACCTTACCGTTGTGTCACAGAGCCAGGAGTGATTTTGTGGGAAACTCGGCATCAGTCGTGAAAACTGTCGAAACTGCTGGATAAAAACCCTGCCAGCTGTGTTGGAAAGCCCTCGGTGCCGGCCGCGGGCCGTTATCTGCGCGGTGGAATGCGGTGCATGTCTCAGTCTCACGGTAGGAGAGACTTCCAGCGGACGGCGTAGATCAGCCGATCGCCAACACCCCCACCGCGGCCCTGTCACCTCGCCCCGCCGACCCGCCGCCGCCGCCGCCGCCGCCGCCGCCCTGTCAGCCCGCCCCCGCCCCCCGCCGCCGCCGTCGCCGCCGCCCTGCAGCCCTGCATGGGTCGGACCTTGGTCTGAATCGTGCCGCTGTCTGCTGCAGCGTGAATAGGGCGGCGGTTCTGCTGGCTGATCTTACGAATTCAGAGAATTTCGGAACGAGATGGTCTCTCGATTACGTTTCGTGTCAGGGCTGAGATGCATATCTGCTCCGGAAAGGATCGGTGGCGCGACCTTCGCCTTTATAGGTGACAGACGCGACTCAGGAGCAATGTCGGACAGCGAGCTTTGTCACAGCGTTGGGACGTTTGAATGACGTCTCCCCACCCCACATGCTAACCAGCTGACGTTGTGTTCCCGCAGAGGATCATTGAGGACGGTTTCCCGCTTCACCAGCACCACAACGGCAGCCACCGCGTGCGGCGGCGCGTTCACAAGCGGCACACCCAGGGCCTCCACTTTGTCTACCACCGGACGACGCCCTCACTGAAGGCAGACTACGGTAAGTTTTGACGGTCACCACCGGCTCGCACGGTCCTAGCTCCGTGTTGACGACCTTGGCCGCAGCTGTGTGTCGGTTTTCCTGTGTACCACGAGGCGCGGTCGTCTGCCGTCGCTTGGTCGCGTTTTGTCGCGGCGTTGGGGCTGGTGTGCTGCGGATGTTGCGTGAATGTCACATGAGTGGCTTGCAGCGGGACAGACAAGATGCAAAAACAGCTTGGTGAACTTTCCTCTCGGAAGCGTGCAGTTATATGCCTTCGCTAGGCTCTATCGCTCACGCTATGCCTCGATCCTAATACAGACGAACTATTCACCGGAAAACATATTCATCCACCCATACGGGACACCTGGGTAAACACCACGCTGTCATGGTGGTGACAGCTCCTGCAGACATCACCCGCCTCGGCGACAACACCGTCACTGACGCGCAAAAACTCCAGTCACCGAACAGACACTAAATCATCGGCGGATTCACCGGAGCGCTGGGGGCAGCACTGCGAGCGAAGCTGCGATCCCAGCCTCCACCTCCGACAGGACAGGCTGATAAGCGTATCCCGTTGCACAAATCTCCGCAGGATTAGCCGTTTGAGTCGGCGACGCCTGTGACGTCATATCCTGCCGGCAGCTTTCCCGCAAGGCCGACACTATATGCTTGCAGTGTTTTCCTGATCTGTTGGCAGCGGTGAAGACGGCCAAGACGGTGAAGTGAATTGAGACGGGCTGGGAGACCTCGAAGGGTTCGAACATCAGCCATGAAAAACTCTGAGCGGTGTTTGGTATTCAAGGGGAATGGCTCGCATCCAGTGTTCGATTCCGTTGTTGGTGAATTCCTTTCTTCGCCGAAAACAAGCATCGCCTGTCCACATGATCAGCTGGCGACCACTTCAGGTTCTTTGAGTTCAGCGAATCGGCTTAGGACTGAAAGCTAAACTGCTATCTCTGACGAAGTCTACACTTCCAGTCTCCTAATTCTTAGGCGCGTGATTGTGCGCCGCGAATAAAATAAAGACGACACCCTGCAAGAGCCGTTTGTGATACTGATTAAGTTTACGGCTGAAAACTATCGGAAAAACTTCTGTGTGAAGCAGTCAGTAGGTTGACTTCAGCATCACCAAGCTGTAGAGCTTACGTCAACATTTTTACTGTCAGTAGCGCAGTTGACATGCCTGACTCGCAGGCGATGACGTGTCAATACATACGTTTTTACCGATGACAAAACTATCGGATAAAACAGCGGCCAGCTTCAGTCCTGCACGCCGCACGGCGAGATAAAAAGGTGATGGGTGTTTCGAACTCAAGTACCGATGCTAGGAACTGACAAGCATTTTCTCTTCACTACACGAGCGTCAGTCACGTTTCGGCAAGAAAACAGCACGAATCTCCGAACCGATTTGTCGGAAAGACATCGGAACAGCGCACGATGCACTCATCTACATCCGATGTGCATAGCTGCCGATGTCTATTGTAATGGCGCTTTTGGCGCTTGCTAAGTGTTCAAGGCAAGCGGGGATCGACTGAGCCGTTTGTGACTGAGAAGCTGAGATGAGCCGGCGGAGCGCCCTTTGTTGTGTGACGTATGTATCTCAGCGAGGTGTTATCTATTTCTTGAAGCAAAGGCGAGCTGTTTATGCATCCCAATGCAACGTTGCTGCCTTGGAAACCCACCCAAAGTTCCAGACCACTAACTGGAAAGATGGCCGATTGGACGCCGTGCAAAATGCTGATGGATTGAGGCACCACCCCTGTCGGAGAGTGAGTGCCATTTAATTCAGCGTATCACCGCCTCGTCGGTCCACTACCCGTGAAGGTCATGTGAGGTCATAGCTCCGTCCTACCGAGAGCTCCCAGCAGGCTGTGGCCGTTCAGCTATAGTGTTACCGAGAGCCCTACGTTGGCTGCCGGACTTGTCTGCCGCCGAGACCGATCGAGGTGTGCGTCCGCCCACCGCCCAGCCGGACTCGGGCGGGGCCGACCTCCACCGGCGGCGGGGCGGGGTGCGGGAGGGAGGGTTGGCTCCACCCCACGCCGCCCGCCCGCTCTTGTCTCGGCTCCAAGGCTGCAGGCCGACGGCAGCGGCCCCGCCCTGGCGGCCGGTAGCAGCCGACCAGCCTTGGAGGGCGGCCCCGCCCGCGGCCCATGTCCCGAGGTCAGCTCCGGCACTCGACGGCCCCTCCCCCACCCCCCGCTCCCCGCCCTCCACAGTCGCCCCGACCTACTCAGACCGGCCAGTCCAGCTGCGTGCGAGTTGAAACTGTTGGACAAAAATGTCTTATTTATTCTGCATCACGAGTGACGGCTTTATTGAAGCAACCAAACCAGCGCAACCTTATGACTAACACAATGCAACAGTTCAATGCCAAACAAAAGTGCACAGTACCTATCGTAAGCAGTTTCGGATGAAATCGTGTGGCATGTTGCGTGCTGGTCACCCCAAAACGATACACACTTTTTGGAGCCGACAACATTGCTCGGTAAAAATGCGCTAGGAACGGACGCGGCTCGTATAATCACATCATAAATGTCGAATTGGTATCCGTGTTACGGCAAAACGGGCTGACACGAGCAAGCCGCACCCTTCACTGTCAGTTGTACAGGTAGACGTTATGCTTACCTGTCCAATGTCAGGTATTCGCTGACTCAAGGGCATGCCACAGGCCGAGCGGCAGAGAGCGCTGGTTCTGGGAGTTGCGGCCAACAGTGGAATCCAGGATGTGTGCTGAAAAGAATATGTATTTTATGACCGTATATGCAAATATTTGACCTCCTAGTAATGACATCACACTTAACTTTACTTAACCACCACCAAAACTGACGCCACGTCTTCTTCATACTTCCAAGCATTGTGCCTTTCGCCTCGGTTGATCACCATATAACCTGCGCAGTAATTGATTTTCGATCGGAGCATGTCATTAACCGGCGGCCAGAGCCGGAGACAAACAGGTTTTTACGGCGGGTGCCGGACCGATAACCCAGATCGGCGGTTACCTAACCGACCAGTAAACAGTCCATGCACACGGCCGGCCGGCGCGGCAGGCTGTGTGTCTGTGTGTCTGTGTGCTGGGAGTGTGTTTCGGTGTGTCGTAACTCGTCAAGGGGCGCCCATTTGCTCCCATGACTCGACTGGCAGCGCCCGAATGCGCCACTTAAGATCAGAAGAGCGTACCAACGCGGGAACGCGGGACTTTGATGGCGTCTAGTTATGCTGTTCTTTATGGACAATTAACATTTTTCAATGTGGACACTGCTACCCATTCATAAGGCCATCGGCGATCCGTCTCCGATCAGTCAATGCGAAACAATCTAATCAGCGTTATGCTGCGTGACTGAAATCGCGAGATACACTGTATATCTTCGAAACCGGTGTTTTTAGGCATAGTTGAAGTTCATCTGCTTATGCCATTCAGCTGACTCGGCTGACCCAGGACATCCGTGACCTGTTCTTCCTGCAGAACTAGTTAGTGTGACCCGTCTAACCTGTCAGCTCGGTGACCTAGGTGACCTGTTTGACCAGCTTGTCTGACCCGTCTGACCTGAACCTAGCCCGAATGACCTGGGTGACCTTAGTGACATTTGCGCGAGCTGTCTGATACTAGCAATCAGTACCTGATTGGCCTGAGTAATCTATATGTGATACGTAACTGACCCATATGACGACCTTAGTGGCTGATGACCTGAATGACCCGTTTCTGATCGATATTAATGAGCCGTAGGCGACATTGATCTAACGTCTGTGCTCTTATCCACACGTGTCTGACCTTCTGACCCTTTCTCTCTCAGGTGTGATGGAGATGGACGCCTTGCCGACGGGCGCCCGCCGCCGCCGGCGCCGCTCTGCCCCCTCCGTCATCTACCCCGAGGTCCTCATCATCATCGACTACGACGGATTCCTGTAAGCATCGCCCCCTCCCTCCACTTACAGCTAGAGTCACACGAAAACTCACGCAACAGTGGCTGATGCTTCTAATGTATGGACCTACTAATATGCTTCATGCATCTAGTTGCATCGGTTTTAAAGGGAGCACACTCTCTATATACCTGGAAATCCATAAACATTTCAAGCACTAGCAATTGTTAGAAACATGGTAATAATGTGCAGATTAGTCATTCTCTCTAAAAATCGTTTGTTACTTGCTAAAGTTTTCTGTCATTTTCGTCTGTTTACTGTCAGGCCGTTGCATTGTAATGGCAAGGTTATGAATTAAAATCCCGTAAATGGCCAAAAATAGCGCGCTGCATTGCGATTGTCCACATCAAGCTTAGATACACCAGAGTGCACACAATAGTGCACACAGTGGTTCACACAGTGGTTCACTTGGCTGTGCAAGGTGCACCGTTCACGGGCCCCACAGTGCACAGTCGGTCACGGCAGGACCACGAAGGCTGTCTCTGGGCCCTGTCGCTCGGAACGCTCCGTGACTGGCCTTGTCCGGGCCTGAGTCACGGCTCACGAGCCGTCGGGCTAGTGCTGTCGGTCGCTGGAGCCCCGTGCAGGACACGCGGCCGAGCTGGGGCACAGCCCGTAACGGAACGCGAGCTTACTGGGCGCCGGGTGCGGCTGCTAGGTCGGTTGGGATCAAGGAAATCATGTGTGTGACTTGGAAGGAATTCGGATAAAGTGTGAATTCCGCTCGCTGGTGATTGAGATTGAGATTGACATCGCGCTGCAGAAATGGGCTATGATCAATTGGCACTGCAGCGCTTGGGTGCCTTTATCGATAGATCATGAAGAAATGCCGCCATGTACACAGTACCTCGGTATAACCCTGGCTGCTTGTAGGTATGTGAATTGTGTTTGTTTTGCTTCAATGATATAGGTTTTATAAAATTGCCACCGGAACGGGCATTGTTCGTTCGTCACTATCTCGTATCCGTTTTGTGTTATCTATCTCTGCCCAATTTACGTCAAAGAGTTTCGACCATTCGTGAAAACAAATCGGACTGCAATCTTACAGCTGCATCCTCCTCCTTCCAGGCTTCACGATCAGGACAACAACAAGATCAAGAAGTATTTCACTAGCTTCATGAACGGGGTGGACCTGCGGTATAAGCAGCTGAGGAACCCCGAGATCAAGGTCAACATCGCCGGCATGATCATCTCAAGGGTGAGCAAGGGGCTGATGCTATCTCCAACTCCCTTCACTTCAACCTTCATCGGTTCGCATTGTCATGGCTTAGGTTTATGTTCGCCATTCTCATCCGCAAGGTTTCCTTCTCGGTAAGGACCGTTGGCTGTTTTATGAATGGAGGGCCAGCCACGTCCTGGTCTGGGCCTGTGAGTGACACCTGAGCCAAGTTCGTGAATGTTTACCAGTGTTATCGGGGCCCTGTGGCGAGCGCTGACGACCACTCAGCATTGGGAATGTAACCGAGCGATGTCCATCCTGTCGTCCCCGGTCCTCACTCGGTTACATGTGACGTTCAGACGGAACCAGACGATGCCTATCCCGGACACATCGCATTAAAAACCGCTTATCACTGTTCCCCGAAACTCGATTTGCGAGCATCTCCCTTCTTGAATGTAAGCTCGGATCGCTGTCTCGCCATTCTGAGCGCTGGGACGCCCCGCTGAGGCATTTCCCGCCACCTGGTCCCCCGTGTAAAGAACTCAGTGATGGCGACTCGGGCAGTAAATCGGCCTTACTCGTCTCCGGGCGGGGCCGAGTGACGTACAGCAGATGCATTACACGGAGACTAAATCGGCGAGTGTCCGGTAGGTATTCAGAGGTCCGAGAAGCGCTAAATGGACACTCTCAGGCTGGCGACAGCTATGAGTGTAGACTTGCCACGATCCAAGATGACTTGAGCCGTTTTAAAATGTGTGAGACTGGCCTCTTCAAGTTACGCAAACGATTGGGATATAAAAGGCTTACTGTTGGGTCTTCTAGTGATGTTGAAACCCTTTCACTTTACTGAATGTGGCAGATATTGCCACGGGACTTCCATGCGGTTCTTGGTTGGTTATCACTTGTGAGGGTTGATCTTGAAGCTGACGATGCCGTGGGGTAGGGCGATGGGGCAGCGCAAAAAGATGGTTCTCTTCGTGTCATCGTGTCTAGCAGGTGAAGAAAAACGAAAAAAAACATGATGTGTGGCGCCCAGCAGTATTTTGACTGCCTCCGAGCTACCAAGGTGCATACAAAAAAGTTGAAATACCATGCGAAATGTCGTTCCATTACTTGAACATTTATATCTCAGCAGCAGAAGCCATCGACCTTCACGTCTCAACCTTTTGCCCCCTGTGACTCCCTAAGTCAGTGACCTGACGTACTTCCCCTCCTGACCGACAGGGCGCCGATGCCACTCCGTACCTGGAGCAGAACAAGGTGACGGCAGATTCCATCGACTCGGCGGCCGCGCTGACCGCCATGGGAAAGTACCTGTTCGAGGAGCGCCGGCTGCCCACCTACGACATCGCCATGGCCATCACCAAGTGAGTCTTGTCGTCCTAGGCTTCAACAAAGTCTCCAGCATGATCAGCATGCTCAGACGTTCTCGTCAACGGGATGACTACTGCATTCTTATAACATCATCGCTGTCATGACCTCGCTAATGTGAACTCATTTATAAATAGTTAACGTTTTCTTCGGTGTTGTGTCATGTTGATCACACAAACACGTCACCTCTTGCGACATCACCACGATAGGCATTATGTAACACACGGTCATCGTCGCATAACTTCCTTACCACGCCAAATATCGCCCGTTATAGTGCGACGCGCACTTGACACTTGTTCTTGGTAATACGAGCGGCAGTTTTACTCTCAAAGATCGTCTTTTCTACTTCACTCTCTCACCACTGCTATGGGACCTGTCTGTCTGGGACGGCGACTGCTGGTTTACGCTCGTTGATGTCATCGTTCCATCGTCTGAGCCATATTAGGCTCCACTCTCATTTGCTGTGGCGGGTGCTGAGCCAAGTTCAGTGACTCTGGAAGTGCTGCACAAGGGTCACCTTGTCTGGTAGCCCACGTGGACTCGATCCGTCAACCTGTCAACGTCTGGTGTCCATCTGACATTGGCATGGAGACGAAATAATGCCCGTTAGCTGAGCGGGTGATGACGGACGGACTCAGATTGCCGAGAAGACGAAAGGCTGGTCCCGGGCCTCAGAGCCAGGTATGGAGATGAAGGTATAAGAAGACGAGCATATCTGCATGCTTATATGTCGAGTCATATGTCTTCCGTCTTTTGAAGTGAACAGTACCAAGAACTTGTGGCAGATTGATCTTAAAGTTGGTTCGTCGATGCGGGCATATATTTCCCGTTTCTCGACTTGTCGAATGTCACTCCCAGCACCTAACGATTTACCTCCATGTGGCAGCCTGCAGTTTGCACTCCGTACCCTGCCCAGCTGCGGCGGCCAGCTGTGGACCCCCTGCCGCCAACAGCGGTCCGAGATGGCCGTCAGATATTCAGGGCAGCTCGACAAACGAATCGGTGGCGCGATCAGCACCTGTTCTGGGGCCCCAGCATCTGTCCATCTGTCTGTCGGCAGGGGAGCTGCCCCCTCCCCTCCCAAGGCGCCCAATAAGGGTAACACGGAAGGCTGGCATAGCGGACGGCGATATTGATAGCCAAGGAGGCGCGAACGATGCTGAGTTTTGGGAGAGGCGCGAGCGGGTGTGAGCTGGAACCGTCACTGACGTCAATGCCCCTACCTACCTACCTACCTACCTACCTACCTACCTACCTACCTGCATACCTATATGTAGGCGCATGCTAACATCGCCTTATTCGTAGTCAGAAGAACGTAACTGCTGGAGTGCAGCTTGGAAAGTCCGATCTCGAAGGTCAAATACTTACCATCAGTACCATCAGTGCTTACCTGCAAGGGTCAGCACAATATCAAAGCAGCCCATCGACGCTTAGACATGAAGAAGGCTGAACCTGACCCAAGCACACACATCTTTGGACCCAGAACAGGGCAACAGTAACACAGGTTTCCTTTTGAGTTCTTCGCCAACTTGATCATACATTCAGTATATTCAGCGGGCGCAGGCGATCTCTCTGCTCCACCCCTCATCGCTGAACCAATCTGCATCTGCTGACGTCTTTCGATCACTCGCACCACCGCGTCAGTTTTCCCAGTATGGAGCACTGATTCTTGTCTGTCTGTGTGTCGGGTGCAACGGCCTGCCTCGGGTAGAACTGTGGACATGACCAGATCTCAGAAGAGTTATCGGCTCTCTGTGACGGAGGCCGACAGTGCGACCTGTCAGAAGTGCAGACAGGAGCTTGGATGGCCCCTTTGTCCGTCTTGAGATTTGCAAGAGCGCTGACGAACCATTGTGTCATTTAAAGCAGAAGAACGCTTCGGTGATATTCAGACAGGTCGCGCAGTTAGTCGCTCCCTAAGATGAATCCCGGACCTGAAGGATCAAAACGTCATTGCCACACTGATGCAAGAACATCCGTTATTTTGTTCTTGTGAATCCGGTGGAAGTAGTCACCTCGGAACTTCCGATGCCATTCACTTGTCCCGCTGGTTCCTAGAGATGTACCGTTTTAAATTAAAATCTGAGGCATCCCAACCATATTTGTCACTAAGAACGTTATCCCGTTATTTTTCGAAAAGTCCCTGAAACCCAAGTTCACCTACATGTCTTGGGTCTCTGCGACAATCCATCTCCTCAATCTGTCATATATTACCCTGAGTCTGTGTCGCCACCTTGTTCCTGCCAGTTTAGTAAGGCACACGCTCCGCTGCCGACGGATCCGGACCCAACCACAGGCTCGCAGACGACTCCTCGTCTCTTTGCCTCACTATCACTAAGTACGAGTATCACTGGCGGTGTGGTGAGAAGGTGGCTCATCTTTCCAACTCTAATCACCGCTCGTCTCTCTACCTCTAATCACACATTACTGGCGGCCTGTCGGTAGCGGCAGCCCGTTTCTCCAACTCTAATCACCGCTCGTCTTCCTGCGGCGGTCATCACTCACGGAGCACCTGTGTCGTCCCGTCGTCTGACAGGCTGGCTCTGAGCCAATTCCCGACGTTCCCAGACGTCAGACAGGTGTCCGAGTCAAGGGTGCTGAATATACAGACACAGTTCGATTGGACATATCCAGGGTCGAGCGCAGCATGCAGGTGTTTCTGCTCGTTTGGGAACGGACGTCCGGCGTGTGTTCGCGACGGTCGATGTCTTCGAGGTCGTGCTGTCACCGAAATGTCATCGGATCGATCGAACCGGCTGTGCTTCCGGGAGTGGGCATCGGTCACGTCTCGAATGGTTGTGATTTCACTGATTCTAGCTCAATGTCAAACGCCTAGGGATGAGCCACCTGCACTTCAGGTCCGGATGTGCATAAGATCACGGAACGTGCCTTTCCTGAGATATCGTCAGTCAATGTCATGTTTGCCCACGAAGCTGGGTCTTTGAAGATCACCCTCAACATCTCAATACATGTGTGTAATGTGTGATGCGTGCAACCATCAATACACCTAGCATAAGTGTGAGCCCGAGCCCTATCGGTCCTGTATCGTCACTTTGTTAGTTTCCGTGTATCTCCATAAATAACAACTAGCACTGTGTCACATCTCACATCACATCTAGCTCTGTTGCCTTTGCACCAACACCTTGCACCCGACCCTTGCACCCACCCCAGTTTGTGCACCCGCTGCGTTCGCGATTGATGTTGCTAACAGACCTCCTCCACAGGCACGACCTCTGCCGCCGGCGCAACAGCGGAAAGTGCACCAAGGGAACGGCCGGTACGTGGACGTTTGTGTGTCTGTGTGTGCCGCTTCTGTACCATGCCGCGCTGCAGCGTGGGACAGACGACCTCCAGTGACCTGACCTGTGGTGACCTTTGACCCTCAGTTACCTTGAATTTGAAAGACTCTTGATGACCGCTGACCGCTGACTTGCAGTGACCTCTGAGCTGCTGCGACTTGACCTGCGCAACTTTGACCTACAGAGATCGCCTCGACTTCGGTGATCGCTTACTGTGACTGTGATTAACCCCGACCGAGCCTGTGTGATTCTCCCTTCGCTCAGCTAACATTTCTCCCCTGTGAACTCGGAGTGAGCGTGTGCTCACCGCCGCCTTCTCTTTGTCTATACGCTTCCGCTTTTCGGTGATACCGAAGACGGCCGCCGAAGCCGGACTCAGTCTTCTGCTTTACTGTGACTGGCTCCAGCCAGTCCCTTCCCCATCTTGACTCTCCTTCACTCAGCTCCGACTGTTTTACAGGCTTGACATGTGCCGAAAAGACTTTGATCGTGGACCGTGTAACACGGGGACGGCCGGTAAGACGGGACACAGGACGGCGCAGTTCGCACTGGGGATGACGGGGCACGGATGGACGAGACCACGCGCCGCGCGGACGCACACTGCACGGGGTGACCCGCGGATCTGACCTAGCACTGACCTAGGGCTGACCCAGGGTTGACCGCGACTGACCGGCACTTTTCTTCAGCTCACATCTCACTTTTACTCTCTGACCTGCACTACTTTGGTCCTCCTGCGTCTTCTCTCTGCCATCACATACCTGCAACTGTCTGTCTGATCGAAAACGTGTGCATAAATGCCTGGGATTTATATTGCATGAGTTTTTGACGAAGCTGCTAAAGTCGCATTTAGACTCAAGAGCCGCTGCGCATAACATCATAACCGCATGAAGAATGATGTAACGAATAAAGCTGGTAAAGCTGCTGAACTGCCGATGCACGAGTGCTAATAAATTAACTTCTGCTTGGCTTTCAACCACAGGAAACAGCAACCGACGAATAACAACGCTTTTAGGGATAAATTAAACTCATATCTAACTCCCGACCTACCCGATCCGCTTCGCTTGGCTTTGCCTGGCTCGTCCTCTGACCTGACCGTGACTGAACGCACAGAGGAGTCACGCAATGACGCTAACGCCGCGGCACGTGACTGCGAAACGCAACCGTCCTCCGTGACGGCAGAGTAACGTGACGTGACGACTGCCCGACGCGAACGTAACGACCGACGGTCGGCAGTGCAGCGTCACGTAACGTAACGCAAAGAGTGCGCAGAGATCGGCTCAGCCGTGACTGCTATAGTGCTAATTTCTAAAACGTGCGCCATTTGAGTTTGCGACATTGCAGTTTGGTATCAAATGTACAATTAAAGTTGCAATGCAATCACGAAAGAATAGGAGCGTCTTAATTGCATGCTATTAAATTTGAATTCTTGTAAATAATTAAAGCATGTTGTTCAAACGGAACTTTTTATTTCGTTTCTCGTTATTTGTGTCTAATGTCTTTTGCTTTATGCTTTTCTTGACATTGGTGTGCAATATGTAACTACAAATGTCGCTAAAAGTCACTAAATTCCTACTTACGAGGACATTAACTTACAAAATAAAGCTAAATTGATTCTCACCTTCTGTGCTAATAAAAGATTTATTAAGGCTCATGATCGATATGTAAGTGCTGAAACCCGCCCGAGCCACGTCTAACCCCACCGTCCGACGCAGGTTTCGCGTACGTGGGCGGAGCGTGTGTGGTCAACAAACGACTCACCAAGGTGAACTCCGTGGCAATCGTGGAGGACACGGGCGGCTTCTCGGGCATCATCGTGGCCGCCCACGAGCTGGGTCACCTGCTGGGGAACGTGCACGACGGCTCGCCGCCGCCCTCCTACCTGGGAGGACCGGGAGCCAAACGATGCCGCTGGGAGGAGGGTTTCATCATGTCCGACCTCCGGCACACCGAGAAGGGATTCAAGTGGTCCCCGTGCAGCCTGGAGGAGTTCGACCACTTCCTCAAGTGAGTGGGGGGGGGGGGACAGAGAAAGAGAGAGAGAGAGAGAGAGAGAGAGAGAGAGAGAGAGAGAGAGAGAGAGAGAGAGAGAGAGAGAGAGAGAGAGAGAGAGAGAGAGAGAGAGAGAGAGAGAGAGAGAGAGAGAGAGAGAGAGAGAGAGAGAGAAAGAGAAGGAGAGAGAAGAGCGAAAGGGTGAGAAAAAGAAAGGATAAAGTGAGGTTTTCAGGCTGGAATGCATAGTTGGGAGCACGATATACCTGCAATGACCTGTTAGAGAGTCTGGCCTGACGGGTCTGTGGTGTGTGGTTGTTGTGGGTGCGGCGCTGTGCTGGTCCCATAAACCACATCTTCCTTCTTATCTATCCCTTTATCCAGAGTTTGAATGACAGAAATATCCCAACCACCTGAGCGATCTTAGGAGATTGCGGTCAACTTGCTTACTTCTTCCATTATGGGCGCTCAGCTCCATCAAAAAAGTGTAGCCAGTTATACCAAAGACGATGTGATGATGTCACTTGTCAGATGACCTAGATCCCATCAACGACAAGTCAGCAGATATTGCACTTTTGATCGAAACCGGACCAATTTGCACGCTGACCACAAACAACTGTCAAGTCTCGTCCTGGTAAATACGTAATCCCATGAACATTAGTTTCCTTTCACGTCTGCCTGGGATTCTACTTGATTCTACAGCTTTAGGCAACTATGCATCGCCAACCTACTTTCTCAAGTGTACAACATGTCGGTATAATTTAATCACGCTGTTTCCCACTTCCAGCGGTGAGACGGCCACCTGTCTTTACAACGCTCCTCACGAGAGAAACAACCTGGACCGTCACCTGCCGGGCAAGCTGCTCTCGCTGGACGCCCAGTGCAAGCGGGACCGCGGCACCAGCGCCTGCTTCAAGGACGACCGCGTCTGCGCGCAGCTCTTCTGCTTCGACCAGGCCACCGGCTACTGCGTGTCCTACAGGCCGGCGGCAGAGGGATCGCCCTGCGGAGTCGGAAAGGTGAGGAACGGGTATAGGAAGGGGCGAGAAGGGAAGAATGGGGTAGGGAGGGAAGGTATCTTTTGGGACGTTCGGGGAGGCTTAGGTAAAATGAATATGATGAACGATGTTCGGTGTTGCGTTGTCGACAATTGATATTCGCTGCGCGATCGAGCGTTTGTCATATCTTGCTTGAGAGGATAGGATCATTTCGAAATCAATTCGATCTTGGGAATAAAAAGGCAGATGTAACCAAAAGTGAACGTCCTTCAGCATTTTGTCGTCTAACATTCCAAGTGCATTCAAATTCATCCGGTATACGCCGTACCCTTGTGTAGTCAGAAGGAGATGTTCGTTCATCACTCACCTTTCTAGTGGTTTTGGTTTGTTCAACGGTTTCGCCGTTCGAAGTACCTTTACATTTATTGTGTCCACTGCTCAGTGTTACTTATTCGGCAGTTTTGCTGCGAGGATTGTGGGCATTTGCAATACACTACTACTACCGTTGGCTGACGTGACCAATTTTGCCAAACACGTTTTATGTCTCTTGCTAACAAGAACCGGGTACTAGCCCACTTGTCGCATTTTTGTCGTCAAACTATAGTGCGACGATCATCAGTGGCGCCCGAGCACGTAGTGACAGTTGCCACGTCTGAAAACCGTCATTCCGCTTCGAGTTCAGGATCTAACAGCAATGTTTTCTATTCACAAATTATATTTCATAGCACTTAATTTGTTCTTGTGTGTAACCTGGTGACTCATTCCTCTTCTGAAATATTCCACCACCTTTTATATTCGATCATCAGTTTGCCGTAAAACTTCGTAACTAATTCACGTCCATTTCAATGCACACTCGTGATACAATGTCAAATGCCGGGCTTGATGCACCTTCACTGAATCATCGACCTCAAAGCAGTTTTCAGTGGCACCTTCTGATTATTATCCATCATGAATTAGGGATAAGTAGCTGGCAAAGGATGACTCACAAACGGACAAAACCGGACAGAGCGAATATGCTCGGCGTTTTTGCACTCGCTACCGAATGATTTTGATAAGCGATTGGTGCAAATTCCTGTTGCGACATGGAATGCCTTGCTTGTGACTGTTTACCATCGTTAAAAGTCACACTACGGCATTATCAGGGTTAGCAATAGGTAATTACCTTACACGCCATGGTGTTTTTTTTTACGTATATTATTGAATGTCCTGTGTGATCGAACAATGTCAGGACTACCTAGAATCCATCTCTAGTGTCTACGGTCCTATCGATATGCATGTGTAAGCGTTCACCTCCAGTGATGCGGTCTCACTGACGGGTGCCGTGACGCTCTGTTTCAGTACTGCCGTGACGGTTACTGCGTGACGGACGACAGCGGCGGTAACGGGTTCGGACGCATCTCGTACGGGTCCAGCGACTTCTTCACCAGCGCCACCCAGACGCGGCCCGTGTGGACCGACCCGCCCACCCAGCAGACCACCGAGAAAGCCACCACCAAAAGTGAGTAATACAGACGAGAGAGGAAGAGGGAGAGGGGGAAGGAGAGGGAGAAAGAGTTAGAGATAGAAGGAGAGAGAGAGAGAGAGAGAGAGAGAGAGAGAGAGAGAGAGAGAGAGAGGGAGAGAGAGTGAGAGAGAGTGAGCGAGAGAGAGAGAGAGAGCTGGAGAGAGATAGACAGATAGGAAGAGGGGAGACAGAGAATGAGAGAAAGAGAGACAGAGGAAAGATTGAAAGATTCGGGGAGCGGAAGATGTCGTAGAGAGAAGGAGAGAGGAGGAGAGGATAGAGAGAGAGAAAGAGAGAGAGAGAGAGAGACAGAGAGAGAGGGAGAGAGAGAGAGAGAGAGGGAGAGATCGTAGAGGGAGCGGAGCTAGCTATACAATGCTCACATCAGTCAATGACAACATGTGATTTGTTTGTTTGTTTGTTTTGTTGGGTTAGGCCCTTTCGGTCGACAAGACCATTGCAGAGCCGGAAGGATGATAGGAATTAGGGGGAGACATTGGTCTGGGCAGGCACCCTAGTGAGTCGCCGGGGCTGAGCCCGTCCAGAGGACAGGCCACCCAGCCCCAAGGCACTCACTGCACCCGGCTACGGGGTGCGCTCCCTCAGGAGCAGCGGTGCCGCTCCAAGGGAGCAGCCCGCATGAGATAAAGTTGCCTGTCCAGTCCGGAGGGGGGTTGCGGAGTGGAGGAGAAGGATTTCAGTATCCTGAGGATAGAAGCATGGAAAGGTCTACAACATGTGATGACCATGGATATGACTTAAGCGATGCTTGTATGGCCCATGTTTCACGTTAATTTATGTCTGGACAAGCTATATAGGGGTTTATGTCTCTCCGACTGCCTCGTACATCATGCTGTGGTGCACAGGCTCGACACTGAGCTAGAAGCAGTCACAGAGCTAGCACTGTTTGTATGTGCCATGGCCACACAGCCCACGGTCCAGCCAGGAAACCAGCGTATACGCTGCGCTATACATGGCGTGTCCATTGGTCATGGGCGCACCGGCGGCCATAGCTCACTGGAGCTCACAGGCTTACGGCCCGTAAAACCAGCCGGAGCTATTCAATCCGCGCCGTAGGGTATCCATATAGTCGGCGTGTCCGATCGGTCTAGACGGTCTGAATCGCCGCGACGCAAGTGACCCTGACCCGGGGATGCCGGAAGACCTGGGGGGGGGGGGGGGGGGAGTCGCAGTAGAGCTGGCGCACATGATTATTGGCAAAATAGCGCATGGCTTATAATACTGGATTGCCTTATGAGTCTACACATTTGCATGATGCGAGTATATTGTTTGGAATGCACTTCTGTGTCGTATAGGTATGCTTTGATGAGTGACCTTCAAATGCGCATAGATACAGGATCTACTGCGCTCTTCGATAACGAGAAACAGCTTACCCGAGCCAGGCTAAATACGATGAGAAGCGTCTGCAATATTTCCTGAAAAGACAATTCGTCAGCAATGCAAGCCGCGTGGGTGCTGGTATTCGTCAAATTTAATGCCTCGTTTCGTGGTTGGTATTCGGTACTTATGAGCTTGTTTACTGATTATGAAAGCATTTTTGTAATGAATTCGGCGTACACCTATGTCACCAAAACTTAGCGGGCGTTCCAGAGGCTTGAGAGTCAACAGCTTCACTCAAACATCCCAAGAATGTATCATCATTATGGACGGGAGTGTTGTTGGTACTAATCCGTCTTGTTCGCTCCTTTTCAGGGTGTGGAACCCGTGGAGCGCCCACCGGTCGACTCGGGAGATTCACAACAGCCCCGAGACAACAACGACAACAACGACAACTACTACAACGACCACAACGACAACAACTCCCACCACCACCACCACTACCACTACCACCACCACACCCGCACCAACTACCACAACCACAACCACCACAACGACAACCAAAGCGTCCACCACGACACCTAGCTGGTGGACCAAGCGGCCGAAAACTAACCGGTGGACGGCCTGGCGGAAAACGAGCCGGACCAGCACCACCACCACCAGCACCACCACCAGCACCACCACGCCTCCGCCGGTGACGGTGGTGCGAACAAACACCCTCGAGGAAGAGGAAGATATCAAGGCCTCGTCTAAAGGTGCGTGGGAGAGGTGACATCGCAGATTGACTGGCGGCTGGGTAAAGACGTCTTGGTTTCTGAGGGTGTCTGTATGTATGGCTGGACATCTCCGTCTAGCTGAGTGTGTTTGTCAGTTCGTCTGTCCGTCTGTCCGTCTGTCCGTCTGTCCGACTGTCCGTCTGTTCTTCTGTTCGTCTGTCCGTCTGTCTGTCCGTGTGTCCGTCTGTTCTACTGCCCGTTTACCTCTTAATACGTCAAGTTATTTGTTTGTTAATTATATGAATTGCGGGCCTTGTCTTTGCCTGTCGGTCTATCTTTTTGATCCTCTACCCCCGTTACCTGTGCGGCTGCTTTTACTTTTCATCCGGAAACAGTTTTGTGTTCATCTAATGATACATTTATCACGGTGATTTCATATATGGATTCTCTAATCACTGCTTAACTTTTACCGGTGAAAGTGTTGACCTTTATCCTCTATCCCCAAAGCGGCTTGTTTGAAAATAATAAACCTCGATTTCTTTATTTACTCCGGTTACGACATCGGATGTAGATATTTACTTTTCCTCGTCTTTAGTTTACGTCCAAGCTTATATAATTCTATCACCATGTGCAGGTAAACTTGCGCAGGAAGTGTAACCCGTATGCATACTGGATCATTCCCGTCCAATCTCGACCAGTGCCGACGGATGCGTCCAATCTCCATAGACACTAGGCGCGGGCTCCGGCGTTTTCGCTGTGGATAGGCGCTCAGCTGCCATGGCCAGCGGCAGCCGCCGGCTAATTTAATGAATGGCAAAAACCGGTACCCCAAGGCCAGGCTCGAGTCGACGGGGACCGGGACGGAGCAAGCAGCGCGTGGTGACTTAGGTGCTGAGCTGGGTATGTTCGGTACTGGGATGCGAGGACTTAGAGGATTGTAAGGGTTGTGTGAGTGTACTAAGGGTTTGACGGTGTACCCCGCAGTGAGGCTGGGGATGTCTAGGAAAGTTAGCAAATGGCCTGGGGAAAGATAGTGGGAGTAGCACGACACAATAGCGGAGCGCATACCTTTTCCATTGGAAGGACAGAGCGGACATTGGTGCGACGTGTCATTGGGACGAACATTCGAATAACGTTGAGCAATGTATGAATCAGTACGAAGATTGTGCCATGGGTGGGACGTTTGCTACGTCCCCGACTGATTGGAACAGCCCATCGACATAAAACGGGCTGTCGGCCACTGTCGGGTCGAGGGATACGGGATCGTTTACGACTCATTGCCTTCCCTGGAACAGTTCGCATCAGTGCGGTTCTGTGAACGTGCAACGGCCACTTGGCAGCCGCAGCGTGAGCTTATTCAGCAGGAACTCGCAAAAACGAGCACGACGCTCAGAAACTATGGTGCATTGTTTTGCTTCGTTTCATACACAGCGAAACTAGATTCCAAATGTCCAGCTCGCCATTCTCCAGCAATGCGTTGTTTCTCGTTAAAGTCGCGCTGTGGGTAGTCTCAGCTCACTCTGCAGAGTTTACAGTGGAGTGCAGTGAGGTCTGTAGGCTCCAGGACGTCTCCCCACTTTCATATAAGGCCGGCTGCACCCGGCTCTGGTCTACGGAGGAGATCACTGGAGAATGTCACTCTGTCTGTCCCTCTGTCCCTCTGTCTGTCTGTCAGTCAGTCAGTTAGTCAGTCAGTCAGTCAGTCAGTCAGTCAGCTGTCAGTCAGTCAGTCAGTCAGTCAGCCCATACCCGCCGGCTGCCTTGTCCATCTGCCCAGTCTTACCAAGGAACACTCTCAGAGCTCTCCAAGATCTCTAACAGGCAGCGTTACCGTCACGTTTCTCGCCACCCCCTCCCTTCTCCGTCACTATGCCGAGGTGCGTCGCCGGTGGCACATCCATCCCCTGGCCAGACGGTCCACTGGACACTATTTGCACGTGTCACGGCGGCCTTCTGTCAGTGACCTCACCGCTAAAACATCTCGGACGGCGGCCGACCGGCGACGGCGCATTCCTCTCCATTCATGGCGCACCGCAGGCGAGCGACGGGTCCTGGAAGGGTAAGGGGAGGGGGGGGACTGCATAGTGCACGTGCCTTCGAGGAGGTGGGGTAGGGGTCGCATTTGAGACAGTGGGACACGTGCAGTGTGCAGCCCTAAGAAGTGGTAGTTAGAGCGGCAATTGCTCTGGCTGCCTGTGGTCACTTCAAGAGGGCCTCTCGAGATGTAGGTGGCGCCATCTACAGGGTCTTTCATAATGAATGTTATTTTTAAAATAGCCATAGCTCAGGTGATATACATCACAAAGTTATTGTCAATACCCGAATGAAATAACAAATCATGGGAAATTATGTACACATGACTCGCATTTTGGTACCGTTCATCGATTTTGAACTGTGTCGCCCCGCTTTCGGACACATATTTCGGCCCGCGGACGCAAGTGGTGCACCACGCGCTTCACATCCTCCGCGCACAGCATTGCAGCAAACCTCTCCACTGTGACCTGTAGCTCTATGAGGGTCACTGGAAGGGTCTCTGCTTGGGGCCTCCAAGACGACTGTCCAAAATCAGAAGTACATCGGCGAGAGATCAGGGCTCCAAGCTGGCCATGGCCGCTCAGTGAGACGGCTAATCACTCGTCTGTCAAAGTTGCCATCCAACCACTGGCGCCCAGCCGCCGTTGTCACTTCAGCGCCGTCCTGCTGAAACCAGCGGCCTTGTCTTTGAACCCCGCCAGGCACATGAGGCCAGAATTCTTCCTTGAGCACTGAGCAGCCTCAAATAAGCTGGCCCGGTCACTGATAAGCCAGAAGAGAACCAGTGGACGAAGACACGCCCGTCGACCACGGCAGCCCAAAACATGACATTTCGTGCGTTTTGTTCCTTGCAGTCAACCGTGACATTCTGGAATCTGTTCACAAGCCTGTGATCATTTTAGAGCGGACATTGTGCTTCTTTTAAAAGTGTCCCCGAATCTTACGGTGGACAGCCGTGCGCTTCAGTGAGCCGTTTCCCACGACCACCCAAAACGCCTACGTGAAAAAAGAGCTGACCCGTGTTGTAGGGGGAGGCATTTCATGTCCGCACAAAAGGAAAGTTTGGTGAAGTGTGGCAGTTTTAATTACATCAACAGATATTCCAAGAAATTTGCAATAAGGTAAATACAAAATTTATGGTTTAATTATTTACGAACACCTTCAACTTCGCGTTTTAAAAATAACATTCATTATGAAAGACCCTGCGTCAAAATGGGCAGGCAGGACGGTACCCTCGGCCTCGACGAGCGGGCTATGTAATGCCACTGAGGTCGTGGACATTTACCTTAGATGGCTTTTGTTATAAACCGGCAAATATCAGTATCTTCTATCGGGAACCTCAGGTAAGTTGGTTATAGGCTTCATTCCCACTTAGGTATTAAGTTCGAGTCCGTAATACCACGAGGAGGTCTAACCTCATCATCAATTCTTCACATACCTATAATGACTAATACGGCATGCATCCTGGACATATACCATGAATATATTTTGTTAGCTGAATAGCCGAGTCGGTTTGGACCCCTACCGGCTCGGCTCGTCCGTCCCGTGGCGTGGCGTGGCGGAGCTGGCGGCACTCGGAGTGGCCGGCACTCCCTCGTCTCTGAGTGATCCGTGATTTACTGCCGAGGGAGTGGCTCCAATCGGTGGTTAGCGCCGCCGACACCGCTGTCTCATCGACGCCAAACTAATCAGCGGTCGTAGCCGGCTGTTTTGACTGCGCCATGACAGCGGCACATAAAAATAGCCGCTCAGAGATAATGTCAGAGGGGGACGCCGTGTCACCGCGGCCGGCCGCTCCTTAACTCTGTGTTCGGCCAGCCGTCGACTCCCGACGCGACTTACCAGCCATGAGCCCCTCGGTGAGATGTTAATCTGCCGGCCGAAAGCCGCTTCCCTCGTCCGTGATATTCGGATATACGGTAAAGTCCAATTAGTATGAATTTACTACCCATTCCTTTGTGATATATCCTGGAGATTTTCCTTGCGTGTTCGGTCGATTCCATGTTTGTTGACTGACTGTTAATTAGCAGCAGCTATCAGCCTTTGAACAAGTGTTCATTACCTTAGAATTGGGACCTTATATCAGAGTCTCGTGCGGGGCCGCATGCTGACCTGTGTTTGCTGAGTAGACGCCGTACTCTACTGCGTTATTATGAGCCGCGATGACCTCTGAGGCAGGTCTGTGTCTTCTGACCTCTGTCTAGCCAGTACCTCTGTTCCGTAACCTGTGACCCCACCTTGTCAGTGACCTCTGTGATTATCGTGTGAGTTGTGGATAGGTCAGTGACCTCTGGCTAGTCTGTGGTCTCTGCATGTCTCTGCTGTTGGAACCTCTGCTTCTGTGACCTATGCTGTGACCTCTCTGACGGTCAGTGACCTCTTGTGTGACCTGTGACCTCTGACCTCTGTCTCCCTCCGTTACAGAGGCGGCCGGCCAGTGCGTGGACCGGGTCAACCGGCTAGTGGGCCATCTCTCGTGTAAACAGTTCATCCAGCGGTACGGCTACCGGTACTGCTCGCGGAAATACGTGCAGCGTAACTGCTGCGCGTCACAAAATCGGCTGTGTTCCGGCCGGAGTGCGTTCAGTGGCTAGCGGCCGGCGCACCGCCGCCGCCGCCGCTCACGGACCCCACTCTGGCGGAGCGCCGCGCGCGCGGCCGCCAAACTTGTTGAAGCTGAGTTGTTACGGCGCCTGGGCAGGGCGGCCGAGTGACCCCGCCCGGGCGGCGCGGCGCCGCCGCCGCAGCCGCCCGCCGAGCGAGGACACATTGGGAGAGAGGAGACGCAGAGAGGAGGAGGATAGTGCGCGCCATACTGTGCCCAGTGATCCAGTCTGAGAACAAACACTCGCCGTGCGCGTGGCGCCGCGCGCCGGCACTGTGCCGCCGATGAACTGTACCTCACAACCAAAGAGAATCGGCCGGGCGGGCCGGCGGGGCCAGCGGTGCCGGGCGGCGCGCGCCGGCCGGCCGTCACCACACCATTCATTTGTCGCATCCCGCTCATCGCCACCGCCGCCGCCGGCCGACCGACCGGCCGGCGGCGGTCCTCTGGCGCTCAGGTGTCGGCCCATCGGCCCGCCGCCGACCGAGAGAGAGAGAGAGAGGAAGAGGGGGAGAGAGAACCGACGAGGACCCAACCCGACCGTGTCCGTCGCCACACTGGCGCCGCGCACGCCGGAGCAAGTGTTGCGGGCTCACCGCTAGGTGGCAGTATTTGTAGCATATTTGCAGTGTAGATGTCGCTAGCTGCTCCCAGACTATGTGAATCTGAGAGGCCGTCAGGCTCATGAAATACATATACGTGAATACATGGAGCGTTGTTTGGAACGATGATTGAAATTGACAAACGTTACGTTTCCGAAAAGGCTATCAACATGGTGGTCTATTAGCAAATCAATGAGTTCAAACTTCAAACGCAATGACGAGCTCAGGTCCAAGCTGTCCAAGGTTCGAGAATGGTAGGTAGTAGGGGAAGCGGGGGGAACACCGCCACTGTGGGAAACACCGCCACCCCATCTGGCGGCGAAAGTATGAACTATAAAGTGTGAAAATCCGTTATTTCCTATTAACCGCACGAAGGTAAGCGTCTTCTGATTTGTGTTCCGGTGTTTCAGTGTAATCGAAGCTCAATGTGGGCATTTAAAGAAAAATGCACATTCTCTTATAAAAATTCGATGAGTTGGGAGCACTTTTGAATGACTTTAAGTAGAGACTCATTTTGATTTACTTGATTACGTCGAAAAATAACTGATCGGCTTTGTCCAGTAAGATAGGTTTGCTTGAACCGTGTAGTACATTCTTGCCGCTGGCGATTTTTGCTTGTGATCACTTATTGGGAAACACCGCCACCCCGTGTCGGTGTTCCCCCAATTGAGGTTGCGGTGTTTCCTGTTCGCAGCGTGATAAGTGATGAAACTCCAAAGACATGCTTTATTTATGTTCGTAGATGTTCCTAAGTCGGGAATAAGCAGCTTATTTGATTTTTTTACTTTATATTTTTCATGCATCCCGACCAGGCACTTGCCAGCTGTATAAAACTGGCAAACAGCTGATGAACCTATACCTATATTTATGTGTCCATTACCGATTATTTGCGAAAATTACCACTTACCGACAGGAAACTCATCGCACGCGATCTCTGAACAATGAAAAGCTTTCGTAGGGATGGGTTGGGTTAACATCAACACCGGTGGCGGGGTTACCCACACAATTTGTAGGTGGCAAATATGCAAGGTATTTTTAAAAGTCGTGATACATGAAAACCTTTTAGGAGCATGCAAAATTAGTACCTAAAACACGTGAGAACATGTTTAAATATTGGAACCAAGACAATAACTACCAAGAGACTACACACATATTCTCTCATTTTGGCGAAAAGCTTAGGGGGGCGGTGTTGCCCCCGCTTCCCCTATAGGTACTGGGTGCTGTGCCCCGGTTTGGGTTAGGCAGCGGTTTTTAGAGTGTCACCGATAATGTTAACCCGCGCACCGACGGGGAGGGGGGGGGGGTTGACCGCCCGGCGCCCCCACCTGAGGTTTTCGTGGATAGCGCAAAACCGCGGCGACATGACTTTTCCCTCATCAATTTTATACATAGTGTGCAAGAGTGAACCTCCTAGCTTTCAAGGTCAGGTCACCAGGTCACTTCGAATGACCCAGCCTCAAATCACTTTTTTTTTTGCAACTTTGTCACCGTGTCAGAGCAGGATATAGTAGATCATAGTCGTGAACTGATAACGAGAAACTGCCAAGACTTTGTAAAAATCAGTTCAAGACTTTGTAAAATGCCTACATTGCACAACGATAATAAACCCGCGCCCCGTAGGGGGGGGGGGGGGCGAAACGGCCCCTCCCTGTCCTTTTCCGTCGATATCTCCTAAACGGCTGGAGATATCGCCACCAAACTTTCAGAACCCCTCCGGGCATCAATTTTACACATTGTGACCAAACATTTTTCCAGAGGCTATGATAGGTTGGCCACAAATGACGTCAGAATGACGTCATGTTCTGCCATTTTCGACCAAAAAAAGACCTTCGCGAGAAGACCTGTCAGGCCTAGGTACAGCTTTGAAGATACAGAAAAATGATCAACACATAAAAGGTGTAGATTTGACAGGGCTACAAAACTGCTATCTCGGATTTTTGAGATTATTGAATTTTGACCCCCAAAAATCAAAAAAGCATTTTTTTTTTAAAATATATTAGCCAAAAAATCCAAAAAAATTTGAGTTTCGAAAAAACCGGAACATGTGTGATAGTACCTACCGTATTCTATCTACATACCAAGTTTCAGATCGATACCTCCTTTTTTGGCCAAGTTATAGCGAAAAAAACTGTTCAAAAATGATGACGTCAAATTTTCAAACTCAATTTTTGGCAATTCTAGACCTTGTAGAGCAGAACAAAGACCACCATTAGACTCCCCGTGACGAGCTGCATCGAATCGTTACCCATTTTATGCAAAAATATCAACTTTGAAATTTGACCTAATTTGACCTGACCTTGACCTGACCTCCACCAAAATGTGACCCAGGCTGGCCCCAAAGGCTGACTAACCCACATAATCGCATTTGTCATGTAAAATGGACCATAAAACATGTATCACACGAAACTTTTATATTGTGACCCCCGGTGACCTGACCTCGCTGTGACCTGACCTGGTATCAGTGACCTCAGATAGTAAAGTATGTGTTTGACGAACAATGTACCATCGATGGTTTTCAATAAATTACCAATTTACTCGATTTCACAACACATTTCTTGAAATGCCTGTGAACGGTGAAAATCCGACCTTTGACCTGACCTGTGACGTCATCGGTTTGGCCTAGGTCAATGGAATTTGGTCACAAGGTAGTTCCCCGGTGGGGCTATCGAACACCGTTTGAATTTTGAAAATCGGCCGGTAAATTTCCGAGATCTTAGGGGGAGGGGCCGAAACGGCCCCTCCCCTACGGGTGGTAGGGTCCGCCGATAGCCCTACCACCTAAAAATACCAAAACATTATCTTAGGAGTCATTTTATCCCGATTTAAAGGCTCAACTTATATCGGGTCTTGATCATCTCGAGATGATCCAATATTCATTACAGGAAAATTTCAGGAACGGTTTAAATGTGAAACATCTGTCAGCAACAGATATAGATAGATTACCGAGATAGATAAGCCCAATGTGTCGATATGACCATACAATCCGATTTTTTCTCTGAGTCCCCTAACCAGTTGTTCCGGGAACCATGGGTGAGTGCCGATGGCCAGCTGAGGGTATAATGCTAGTCGCTTGGTGCAGATGTGCTCTAAGAATAGCGGCGATACTGTATAGCTAGGTAAAAAAACAAAAACTCTTCGGTAGGATATTATTACGCTTCCATAAAGTGGCGACCTAAAATACTCCCCTTTGGCGGTGTATTATCGCACTTCCATGAAGTTCTATTGTGCCTGCAGCTGCATAAACGTTAGGCACACTTGAGAAGCGTTCGGTGCGGTCGTGGTTTGCCTCTGCAGCTGCCTCTGCCTCTGGGGCAGCTGTGGTCTGTTCCAATAACACTGGCGGGACTGGGACTGTGTTTGTGCGCTGTGACACATTCTTATATTCCTGCTGCTGCAGAAGCTAATACGTCTTTGAGACAATATTTGACGAATTCAGTTCGACGACTTTACCGTATTCAATCATTTAAACGTGTTTAACACGAATCGTTTTTATATTTAGACTGATACTCATCAGCGCTGTTACGCATCTGACACCAAAGCGCTGTTACGGAACACTCTATACATGTGCACAACAAAAATTTATAGGTTTTATCAAAGTAAACGGTTGTAACTCGTAGCCTTTCAAAGCTTTGCATGCAAGCTCACCTAAGTAGGTACATTGCAAATTTACGCACATGTTCGCTTATTTCTTAACATATTTTCAACCCAACATAAAATGAGATTCTTTGTTTGTTTTTAGATATAAAAGTTATTTGGCTATTTTAAGTTACTAAATTAGTTCAGTTATAAAAAACGATCAAGTTATTGACCGGCAGTGACCTAAATAGGCTTATTTCGACCTACTTTCGTATTAACACGTTTCCAACGAATTGCCTCAACATCGACAGCGACAAAGAACTTCTAAACATCTGCCAAGATCATAAACTCTGCGCCAAGCTTCATAACCAAGATTCACTGAGTGTGTCCTTTTGCATAGCTGCAAGTAAACGATCGTTTCGTTAAAATATCACAGTAAAAACATGACAGACCAGAAGAAGGAAGTCGATTACGTCGGCCAGGACCGCAACCACGTGGACCTCATTCGAATGGAGTGGCGGGGCGCGGGTCAGTGGAAGGCCAACTGGGGCTTTCTCTGTGACGGCTACGAAAAGCTCGACCGAGACATGAGCCAGTCGAGTAAGGAGTCCACCTTTCAGCTGCGGCTGGAGTTCTCAGAACCGAGGAGCGTCACCACACCGGCCGATGTGTTCTTCTGGAGGCCAAAGTCGGCACGAAAATCGTAGCGAACCTACGTCTTTATTTATTCACTTTGCTATCAGGGTGGCTACCAAGAATAGAAGTGCATCATGTTCTACATCACAAAGGAAAAAACGAAGGAAAAGGTGATCAGATACGCGTGATGGTAACGGTTAAGTGTTGTCATAATTTGCTCGTTCTCGCTAACATTAAACGGTGTGCAGTTATCCTACGCTTTTATCTGTATCTGTGCAGGCTAAAGCGCAATTCAAGGGTGACGGACACTGGTTGTAGAGTCTTGGGGAATCGGCATCCCTGGATTCTGTTCGGCGAGCAGCTTCTGCTTTCGCCGTTTGACGTTTCTGTCGTGACGAATTCTCATTTCGGCAATCTCCTTCATTTCTTCCATCTCTTCGTCCTGAAACAGGCATATTCTCCTTCACACATTAGCAGAAATGGCAAAATTCAGAGATAATCGAAAAAAATGAATCGGTTTACTCGTGTCAAGAGACTCTGGTCGTTGAAAAGGTTAATGAAGCGCATACCTAGGTATAAAAAAGCGATATGCACCAGTGTATGCTACGGAAACGCGTGAACGAGTCTCAAGGATCTGATACTGCGCCGCAGAGCACAAGTGTCGTGCGGTACAGCCTACAGAGCTCCATTCGCTCTAAGCACAGTCTTACCAAAGAAAATGAAATAACTGATAAGAAATAGGCATGTCGATATCGTAGATTTTCGACTTAAGGTAAACATTAGAGCGAATCATGTGGCCTGATATAAATAACGCTAAGAGAAAAAGTTTGCTGCAGACTGACCGACTGTTGTTTGCGCAGGATCAGGGCCGGCGTGCCGTCCGCCATCGGCTTAGAGTAGAGGTTGAGGTGCTCCAGGCGGTAGGTGGGGCTGACACCCCTCTCCACCACCAGTACAATGCGGGCCCACTGACAACAGATGCGAACATACAGAGGACGGTGACTGACGGGAAGGGCGCCCGTGAATGTGATAAAAGGCGTGAATTATTGTTTCAAAATTATTCCAATTATGACACTATCTTCCTTCCGTGAGCTGAACAATGAGTAATTTTTTTAAATCTATATTTCATGACACATGATTCAAAACAGAACATTCATGACACATGAAATGATGAAAAAATTACTTGCTTGTCAAAAACAGGTGAAAACATTTCCAGCAAGCTAATGCCGTGTGCCGTGTTGGCACTCAGTCTCTACCAATAGATCATGAGCCATGCTCACTTGTTGTTAGAACCGTCATATTAGAAACCCGTCTTATATAACCGACACTGAGCTGTCAGTGAACCTGCTTTAAACGAGTTTTACCTGCCTCATCCACTCGTTTTTCATTTCGGCGATTCTTTGATAGGTGTTTCCCATCATGGCGATCAACATGTTGATCAGGAGGATCGCCACGCATACCATGTATAATATAAACAGAATCTGAAAACGAAGGAAACAAGATGTAAACTTATGACACCTTTTTACCAAACCCAAACATTTGCATCGTAATACTGTAGTAATTCAATTACAAGACCCTGATGTATTTCAACTATTGTTCATACAACTTCAAATAGTATTCATAGTTTTTTCCTCGGCATTCTGTCATGCAGAATTGCATTATTATGTAATCACCGTCTGCACTATGTGCGTCACACTGTGAGCAGCCTGTCTCACCTGGCCCACAAGCTTCTGTCTGGTGTACTTGAGGTTGTTGTAGAGGTCTCCGAAGCTGTTGAGCGACGCGAGGAACATGAGCATCACACTCTGAATGGGCGTCTTCATCGGATTGGGCGCTCCGTCCGGGTGCTGATACGACCGGTAGATGATAAAATACGCTGCACGTGCACGAAAGGTCAACGTTATAAAAATGGTGTTCTGAGGAAAACGATACAGTGTAGCACCAGGTGGTTCAATAACAATGATCAATTACTGAATCAGCTGACATTGCGAGGCTATAAATAGAACCGAAAATGGTCGGCTCAAGCGGAAAATATATTACGTTTAAGTAAAGGCTCGGTTATACCTATGCTCGTATAACTAAGTGTCTGAAATAAATTGATCCTGAATGCAAGTCGACGTCCTCATGCCACACTGACGTAACGCGCAAGGATGTCGTTTACGATGTGAAGCCATGAATGAAACGATTTTTTCGTACTGCTTACAACAATTCAACAGGTACATAAATTTAGGGACTCATTTTTTCCTCATGAAATGCTAGCCTAACCATAACATGCAAATGAAGTCCTTCATCTCAACAACTTCAGATATTATTCCGTAAGAGAGCGTCTTCCCAGCACACCCTAACTCGCCTTGTGAAAATCCCATGACGAAGACGGTATAAATGGTGACGAAGCGGAGCAGGTCACCGACTATCATCTTGTAGATCATGGTGACGAACGGGCCGACCGATTTGTATCCACGGCAGAAGAAGAGGAAGTAGGGCGCCGTGCCGAGCATCACGAGCACGGCGAGTACGTCCTCCGCGGCGCTCAGGCAGGCCAGCCGCAGCACCACCATGGCCAGTTTCAGCAGACACGACAGCAGGAAGATGACCCGGGACGGCACCGTGGCCTGAAACGGGAGGTGATGTGGCTCGATGGAATGGTGACATGAAGAGAGACAGGTGCTCTACATCTGTCATATTCTACACATTCACATGCTCTACAAGTTAAAAAGAATCATCCTAGCCTTGGGGAGCATGAAAAAATAGGCATCTAGAGATAAAGTAAACGGTGAATTCCCAATAATTCGCGACAATTATGCGTCATCAAACAAATCTTCAAAGCTCGTTTTGCTCAGAACACCATGGCCAAAAATAGAACCAGCAGGCTGACCTTTTTCCCCATCGATCCCAGCGACAAGGCTTGACCACATACCAGGTTCTCCATGAACATGCTGAGTCCGAGAAACCGTGCCTCGTTCAGCGCGTTGAGGACGTAGGCCACCGTTCCAGCCACCACGAGCAGCTCGAGGGTCCAGCGCACCCCGTCCCACGGGTCCCGGTACTCATAAAGGGTGCAGCTGCACGCGCCTGAGGTATCGCTGGCCGTCTTTGAGACTTCAGGAGCTGAGGTTGGTGGTGAAGTTTGGTTGAGGGGTCGGCCAGACCCAGGTGCAGCTGGTTTGGATATCTGTCTGGTGTTTGGTGAGGAGGGAGTCTTGCTAGTGGTGGAACTAGTAGACGATGTTGGACTCTCCGATGGTGATGAGGGTGACGCAGTTGTATCTGAAGACGGATCATTCGCAGGAACTGACGATGATGAAGACGTCACATTGCCAGCATCGTTGGACTCTGCCGTCTTCGTCACCCGTTCCTGGGATCCACCGGTCTCTGACCCACCTCTGCCCGCCGCGACACCCTCCGTGACACCCTCTGTGTCAGAGGTCTGACCGTCCGCCTGTCTCCGCACCCGGTCCGGCCCCACAGCCGCGTCTGCCGTGCCGCTGGTGGGACCGTTTGCCTCAGGTGCGTCTGTGCTGGGGCCTTCGGTCGACGGGCCGGGAATGGCCGTGACATTGGAGGGTAAAGACGGCGCCCTGGCTGGTCCAGCGCCGGTCACTGATGGTGGTGCCCCGGTTATTCCCGGGGAGAGGGCGGACAGCGGCCCCGACAGGTCAGTCTGTGTGCCTCCCGAGGTGGTTTTGGGGACCTTCTTGGTGGCCAGGGCAGTTCCGCACGGCGCGGGGCGCAGGGTGAAGCACGCCAAGTTGAGCAGAAAGTAGATCGTGAAGAGAATCATCATCCTCTTGAACCTGAGGATAGAGACTGCTATTAATGTTGGTAATTGGTAATTGGTAACGTTGGTAAATAATAACGTTGGCCCACCTGCAGAATTGACGAAAGAAGGCACATCGAGCTGAACAAATAAGAAAAACGCTGAATGAGGGCATGAAGTGAAATCTGACCTCACCACCTTCTGGCCCACCATCAGTCCTGTGTTCTAGGGAAAATTGATTTGCGCACGCCCCGTCTTCCTATGCATGTCCGTGAAGTTATAGCATCAGCAACAGCAACGATTACAGCGTTTCCTACTTGAGTTTGACAAAGGCGTTCCATTTCGCAACAAGGAGGTCGACGATTACTCCGTCCAACATGTCCAAATGGTCCATATTTTCCTGCAACGAAAAGGGAAGCATAATCATAATTAAAAGCAAAAAAGTACGTGTGAGACATCTCATTATGAGACAGACACTATTCAATGCTGTTCAGAAGCAGCTATCAAGGAAAACTATTTCAGAATTTTAACGACGCTGAGTCCTCATAGAATCGGAAGAGAGAAAGAGACAGAAGCGGAGGAAATGATACCCAATGACCCGCACCCCGAACGCGATGAGGTTGAGTGCCGAGTTTCTGTCGATTTTTCCCGTCTTCATGTCGATCGAATCCAGTCCGGGGAGCGGATAGGCTGCGCACGTGATGTTCCCTGCGGAAATGGTGCATTGGTATATACTTGCGTTAAGCAGAGTACAACATGAATGAATGTCTATTTTTCAGCGTTTGGGTATTTTATAAGAGTGGTGTTTCTACGATCGTATTTATTACTTCATTGGTAACTTCTTCGATTACTTAAGTTAACAATGTCCAAAATGTCTATTTTAAATCACTACTAAATATTGTTTTCCGAACGTTTCAGCTTTCTGCGTTTTTACTCTACGTACCTATTTGCCAGTAGATTTCTCGCTGTACTTTGAGGATGTGAAAGAAGATGTCCTTTTTGGCGAGTTTGGCGGCCAGGGTGAGAGGCGTCAGTCCGAGCCGGTTCACCAGGTCGATCCGGGCTCCGCACTCGTACACCAGGTCAAACATCGACTGAGGAGAAAGGGGGAGGGAGGGGAGGGCGAGAGAGGGGGCAAGAGAGAGAGAGAGAGAGAGAGAGAGAGAGAGAGAGAGAGAGAGAGAGAGAGAGAGAGAGAGAGAGAGAGAGAGAGAGAGAGAGAGAGAGAGAGAGAGAGAGAGAGAGAGAGAGAGAGAGAGAGAGAGAGAGAGAGAGAGAGAGAGAGAGAGAGAGAGAGAGAGAGAGAGAGAGAGAGAGAGAGAGAGAGAGAGAGAGAGAGAGAGAGAGAGAGAGAGAGAGAGAGAGAGAGAGAGAGAGAGAGAGAGAGAGAGAGAGAGAGAGAGAGAGAGAGAGAGAGAGAGAGAGAGAGAGAGAGAGAGAGAGAGAGAGAGAGAGAGAGAGAGAGAGAGAGAGAGAGAGAGAGAGAGAGAGAGAGAGAGAGAGAGAGAGAGAGAGAGAGAGAGAGAGAGAGAGAGAGAGAGAGAGAGAGAGAGAGAGAGAGAGAGAGAGAGAGAGAGAGAGAGAGAGAGAGAGAGAGAGAGAGATAGAAGGAGGGAGAGAGGGAGAGAAAAGTGGCCGTCAATAATCAATTTGCAATCCCAGGAAAAGTCCGAGCGAATGTCGGTGTGCAATAGACGTTTACGCTTAATTAACGTCGCTGCACTTGGGACGTTTTCTGTTGCCTGCTGTTACGTTGATCCCCCTGCCCTATTACTTAGTGATCATTAGTATCTGCACGGTTTCGGATGCGCGAGCTTTTTCCTTGTTCAATTTGCATTTCATTAGCCCTCGCCAGGCCAGGTTCAGTATATAACATCTGCACTTCTATTCGGTATACAAATGTTCGGTAAGCGTATGGACAGGGAAGACGCAAGCAAAGCAGTAGCTCTCGTCTCAAAACTCACTGTTGCAAAATAGAAAAATGCAAGCAGCGACACACCTCTAAGATCCTGAAGCGTCTTAGAAAAGATGTAGCTCCGGCGCATACGTATTTCGAGGGGACCAATGTTTATATACACCAGGAAATATCTACTCTGTCGAGCAAATATTGCCAGCTTCGAGAGACAGACGGTGTCTCAGATGCTACCATATATGCTGTGAAAAGTGATGATACGGTTTTTACTTTAAGAAACATTTTTTTTTTACAGAAATACTTTCAATCGATTGGTTGATACTGAAACAGTCCAAAAAGATAAGTTCCAACGTCCGAGCGTGGTAGATATTTCTCAGGAGAACGTCTTCGAAATGTCGTGGGACCAATAGTGACATGCGACACAGGATAATCTAAGAAGCGCCAGCAGACGATTGGACACCATTCATGTGACGTCACAATGTCGTCATACCCTCTCCTTACCGATCCCGACGCTTGGCTGACCTGAAAGGATCAGATCATTGAGCATTACAACGATCACCGAGCGCTGGGTCCCATGGAGTCCGGATATCAGCCTCTCAACGTGCCCACCTAGCTAAACACTCTGATTGTAGACCACACCAGTGCAGCGTTCAAGTCCCGGTACACTAGCACCGTCCTTACGTCGCAGGCGTTTAGGTTGGCATTTACACCACGTCTGCTTCCAGTTTGTGTCTGGTCAGAGGACGCCCGAACCAAAACAATGCAGCGATTGTCCGTGACCCACGATCGAAAAACGGAATATGAATGGGACTTTTCAACGGGGGAGTGGCGTGCGCTCTTGTAACACCACAGTAGCTCAATAGTCGCCAGTCGAATATTGTAGCCCATCGGCATGTTTCTGTTTGTATCTCGGCGCGATGCAATACGGGTATTCAATAGAGCTTCCATACATTCAACTACATGCATATGTTCACCTTCTCGGTATTCACAAGCATTGTCGCGCCACGAATGCATTGTCTATCGCTGTGTTTCGCCCGCTAAATTACTTTCTCCCAATAAAACTCACACGTATGTGATTTCAGTGGGTTGATAATTTCATTTTTATCATTCCGAAAGCGTCCGTGTCTCACCATTTTGTCGTAGATGACCATCATGTGAATGGTGGTGTTTCCGTTAGTATCCTGAGTGTCCGGATCGGCACCCTGGGGACACACGGGGCACACGGGCGTTACGTGGCACGTGGCGACACGTGACACGGGGGGAGGGTCACGTACGTGGGCTGGGCGCATTACGTGACGGTTGTGAAACAATTCGAGGAGGTCTATTACATAAAAATATCCACTCTGCTGTTGGAAAACTGAAAGCGTTATGCCTTTATTAATTGGTGGAAATAGAAGCCCTGGATACCGCACTTAGACTTAGATAGGTACTTGCAATGCATGTATAACATCACAGAAGCACACCCTCTGCATTGGCTGCACTGTGTCGTGGTCTTACCCTGGCGAGTATGAGCCGGTAGCACTCCTCCTGACCCAGGCAGGCGGCGAACGACAGCGGGTACTCTCCCCAATAAACGTACCTGTGGCACGGAGACAGACAATGCTGATGGCATCAGACGGAAGCTGGATGTCACAAATATGTAAGCACACATAAAAACAATTATCTTTAATACTGAAATGCTTAAACATGATGGAGTGTCGCAAGAAAAGAACGGGGGCTCATTCGACAACACTGCTAGTTATATTCCCCGGGAAATGTCACTGTTCTCGATACCCACCCTTTATAGTTGGTGTTGGCGGACACTTGGACAATCTCTGTGCCCAGAACATCGGCCCTGGAGCTCTTCTGGTCCTCGGGGCACATAAAGTTGCCGAAGCACCTCTCGTGCACGTCGACACCCTTGTTGAGGAGGAACTTGACCATGGCCGGGTCCTCGTTCACGATGGCGATGTGCAGCACGTTCTCGCCAAAGTATTCGTCGGCCATGTAGATGTCGTTAATGAGTCGCGGGTAGAAGTGTAGCAGGCGCTTGGCGAGCTCGTTGTGCAGCGAGGTAGCGTTCAGCATGCACAGGAGCAGGATCCCCTCGTTGACGGCGCCGGTCTCCTCGAGTTTGAAGCACAGGAAGCGGTACTTGGTCTTGTCTGGGGATGATAAAAGGGGGACGAAGAGGAAAGAATGAGCTGCGCTGACCATCGCATATAATATAGAACCTTTTGGTTGAAATTTGAACTTTGCAGCATGAGCTAGAGATGAAACATAAATTGTGCCTGTAACAACCGGCTAAGGTCAAAACCATATTAGATGACAAAATATAATTTCAACCTGTTTCGTTATTCACCCGGCTGATTAACCAACCGAAAATTTATAATAAAATAATTACAGCCCCAGGAGAGCGCGAAAGGAGTGCCCTCTGGTGGGCGGCGCCTGCGCCCCTGTACCACCTGAGTTCGCTCACGGGCGCCCGTCTCATTGTTATTTTATCGTCGGTCGCGCCGCCGTCTTACGGTCGCAGGTGCGATGTGACGGCGCTCTAGAGTTCGGTCTGCCCCGAGGCTGGCACTGTCTCCCCTCCAGTCGCGATGGGCGCACCTTCGGGGCTGTGTCTCCGGAGGAACCCCTGGCCCGTGCCCGGGAGCAGCTCGGTGACGGGACATTCCCCCTATACAGGTCCGTGGAATGTGTAGGTGAATCAGCGTCAGCTAGTTGATGGTGAGTCTCAGTTATTTTAAACCGAGTTTCTCTGGGAGGTGGGACAGAAACCGTCCCTTCCGTTTTTGTTTCCAACATATCTAATGAATAAATTTTTAAGTTTTAGCGCTTTAATTCCATAATTCTGCTTTGCGTATTTAGTAGAAATTTTGTGGGTATTCATTATCCAGTCTTCTTTGCTATTTTTATAAAACACAATACATATACATTTACACAAATTGACGTGTCAAAAATCACTTTGACCCTATTAGTAGCAGGTTCTCAGATGAGGTCATTTGAGATAAAGGAATTTCCGTCGATAACTCTCACACAGCTTAAGCGATCCAGAAAAAGCACCCATGAATTTAGCAGTCAGGAGATTTAGCAAGAAAGTTGGTTATATTATATCATGACCTACTTTTACCACCCTTCTTAGCTTACCGGCTTTGACCTGACCTTGACTGGATGTTAATGCGCATTGCGTAGCTGTTGCCTGTTTTCCTCAAACAGAATTTGTAGTTATTTAGATATTTTATTTTTTACGCAGCTCAGCATAACAAAAACAATGATGCCACGGATTAATATGTTTCTTAACAACCTTTTTTTTACTTCGTACGATTTCCATGTCTATAAAAGAAGGATTTCTTTTTTTCCGCGACACTCTGGGTTAATTAGGAACGAAACGGTTATAGAGTTGTAGAAGCTCAACCCTGGTTGGTATACCTTATGATTGAAAAAAAGGCTACGAGGAGCCATGGTCACGTCACCTCATCAAAAGTGTAGACATCCAATTGGTATGAAAGAGTGGGAGAGGCTTGCAATGAGGCGGCTTATAGCAGTGGCGCTAGCAAATGTTGCAACTAATAGCTGTTGTGCAAGTGTGCATGTTTATTCAAATGCAGTAATGCATAAAACAGGACAATATTTACACCTCTGTTTCTGTTGAAAGTGTTTGTTATTGTCCCTCAGTTGGAGCCGACGGTCACGGCTAACGGGTGTCCCTGCTCGATATCGTCCCGCCGACCAGCACCGGACAGTCCCCGGCGAACCGGCGACCTCGGACCGCTGGAACAAGACCCACTACCGACCGGCGACTGGCAAAGGTTAGAGACGGGCGGGAGACCGTCTGAAGAGGATATACAACTGGCCTCACTATGGTGGAGAACGCTGGATATGTGTCCGATGACGACTTTGCTCGAGAGCTGAGGATGGCCAGCCAGGCGGCCGAGATGGCCACGGCGCGCGCGGCAGCTGCTGCGGCCAGCCGGCGCCGTCAGAAGGAGCAGCAGCTGGCGGCGGCGGCGGCGGCCGTGCAGCTGCCGCGCACCATCGGCGCCCTCTCCGGGTCAGCCATCCTCATCGGCTCCATCGTCGGCGCCGGCATCTTCATCTCTCCGGCGGGCGTGCTGCGGCACTCGGGTTCGGTGGGCGCCGCGCTCACCATCTGGTTCGCTACTGGACTCGTCGAGGCGGTCGGCGCGCTCTGCTACATCGAGCTGGGCCTGCTGCTGCCGGAGCACGGCGGAGATTTCACCTACCTGCTGCGCGCCTTCGGGCCGCTGCACCCGTTTCTGGGCGCGCTGCCTGCCTTCCTGCAGTGCTGGCTGGACGTGAACGTGTCCAACCCGGCCGGCACTGCCGTGCTGGCGCTGACGTTTGCCCAGTACAGCGTGCGGCCCTGGTACGGCAGCCACTGCCCTCCTCCGGCCGGACTCGAACCTCTTCTGGCGTCATTGATTGTTCTCACTCTGACTGCCGCCAACTGTATCGGAGTCCACTGGTCCACCCGTCTACAAAACGTTTCTACGGCCGCCAAAATGACCGCCATGGCCATTATCGTGGCCGTCGGAGTGTATTCCTTATCGCAAGGCAATGTTCAGTACCTGGCCACAGGATTTGAGGGCACCACCAGCTCTTCAAGCGAGATGATCGCCGCCCTTCTCACCTGCAACTGGGCGTACGCAGGCTCAAAAACTCTCAACGAAATGAGTGAGGAGCTCAAGGACCCTCCGCGAACGTTACCGCTCTCCATTTTGGGTTCGCTGCCCCTCATATCTGCGTTCTATGTGTTGGTGAACGCGGCGTATCTAACGGTCCTCTCGCCACAGCAGATGCTGGCGTCACCAGCGGTGGCCTTTCTGTTCGCCGAGCGAGCGTTCCGACCCGCTGCCTTTTTGATGCCACTCGGAGTGGCCGTCTCTGTCCTAGGTGCACTCAACAGCATGATACTCGCCAATAGTCGGGTTCATTTTGCTGTGGCTCGACAGGGGCACCACATGCACGTCTTCAGTCTGGTTCATGTGCGCTGGTTGACCCCCGTTCCGGCGCTGGTCTTCCAGGCGGTAGTCGTCTGCGCCATGGTCTTTGTCGGCGACGCAGAAGCGCTGCTGCGGCTGTCTAGCTTCGTGAGCGCCTTCTTCAACGTGATGGTGGTAGCGTCTCTGTTTGTGTTGCGCAGAACCATGCCGGACGCCAATCGACCCTACCGGGTGCATACGCTGCTGGCTGTGTCAAGGCTGCTCTTCTCGGCGTACCTGCTGGTGGGGCCCATCGTCGACCACCCGCGCACCGAGTACCTGTACTCGGTGGCCATGCTGCTGCTCGGTCTGGCCGTCTACACGCCGTTCGTGTACAAGGGCTGGTCGTGGCCGCTGCTGGAGCGGTGCACAGTGGGCCTGCAGAAGGCACTCGAGCTGCTGCCCACAGAGTATTGATGAAGGGGACAGAATGAACTATGACCAAAGCAGCCCGCGAGCCGCTAACTGGGCTCTCCGAATCACCGTCAGTCAATCAGTCACCCTAACGGCCTGCTGAAGACCCCCGAGCTTTCCACAGAGTACTAACGAAGGAGACGGCACTCTCTGACTCACAGTCAGTCAGTGAGTCATCAATATCAGTCACATCTAACCAGCACCGTGCGCTGGTCGGCAAATAAGCGTTATTTGTTGTTATTATTGACAGATATGTTTAATTATTTGTCAGAAACTTACAGAGCTTGATGTGGGTGCCAGAAACGACTGATATGCTAGATATGTTAGCGGGATGTTTGGCTAGATATTCAATAAAGATAAGACGGTTTAACTAAGTTCAAAGAGAGGGTGGAATGGAAAACACGTTTTGTTTCTGCCACCGTCCATCAAAATTGTTGATATAAAACGCTTGATGCATGATGTAGCGAAGTAGTGTGAATTTATGTCCAATGAATAAAGTTGTCGCCATCCGGATATGAAGCGTGACTGGGGCCATTTCACGGCATATAGCCGTTGAACGGGAGGAGGGGGGGGGGGGGGTGAACCCACACGCTCCCCGATAGGTTGTGATCGTGCCAAGGTCCTTGCACAGGTCAACTGCATGTTTTCTCAGCCAGGAATTCAGATCTTTTAAGAATACATTTTTATTAGTAGATGGTTGGTCACTATTCGCCTTAGATACTGGTCCTAAATGTGCACGCAAACGGAATGCTGAGGTTTCCGCTTTGTTGTAGAAGAGTAGGTACAGCCGGTGCGGGAATATGAAATATTCCGTTCGAATGCAATAGCGAAATAATGTACTCTCTCGTGGCGATATTAGTCTGATGGTGCAACTATGGATATTCAGCAGAACGAGAGAGAGAGGGAGTGAGAGAGAGAGAGAGAGAGAGAGAGAGAGGGGAGAGAGAGAGAGAGAGAGAGAGAGAGAGAGAGGGAGGGAGGGAGGGAGGGAGGGAGGGGGAGAGGGGGAGAGAGAGGAACAGATTTAGGAGAGACAGATTGGGAGGCAACAAGACACATTGATGAATACATATGTAGTATGTAGGTACACAAATAAGCCAATAAGGTACACATTTTATTCACCGTTTGTGTGGAACAAATGTAGATTGACCGTAAGCTTCTTGTGTAGCAATTTAGAGAGTTAAACAAGTGGAATGTCACACGAAGCTGCCCATTTCTACACAAATGGCCCGGGTAAGTGGGCACTCGCCGACAGTGTGGCATTTATTGATATTCAGTGTATGCATATTGCGTACAAGTGGTTGGCACGTGTGCTAGTGCTCCCAACTGCACCAACGGTCTGGTGTAGGTACTTAGCAAACACATGCGAACGCTGGTGATCGACCTTACTCGCGTCGTAAACCAAAGCATGCACGTTATTGCACTTAAAATGTCGTTCATGCCGCTAGTGAACTGTGAATGTGTTGAAAAGCACTTCATAAACAACCCTATGCAACGCAACGCATCAGTTTGGTAGATTATAAAAAGCGTGATTATGTGGCAGAAGAACAGATTAACTACGATAGGCTCTTGCTATGACAAAAATGACAACGATTCAAAAAACGTAGGCAAAAATAGGTACATTGTATTGTAAAAGACGAGACGTCATGCTAAATATAAACCAGCAATTATCACACATGTGCAGCAACAGTCAGAATCTAAAACACATGCTAAAACGATCAATAACCTTGGCACCAGTGTCAGTATGCATCGTATACCTCGATCAGTATACAATCGATCCCGTATTTCGTATCCCGTATCCGTCAGTGCTCTGTGGGCAGCAGCTCGAGTGCCTTCTGCAGGCCCACTGTGCACCGCTCCAGCAGTGGCCACGACCAGCCCTTGTACACGAACGGCGTGTAGACGGTCAGACCGAGCAGCAGCATGGCCACCGAGTACAGGTACTCGGTGCGCGGGTGGTCGACGATCGGCCCCACCAACAGGTACGCCGAGAAGAGCAGTCGCAGCGCCGCCAGCACTGTCGGCATCCGGTAGGGTCGCTTCGCGTCCGGCATGGTCCTCCGCAGGACGAACAGCGCCACCAGCACCATGACGTTGAAGAAGGAGCCGACGAAGCCGGCCAGTCGCAGCAGTGTGCCGACGTCGCCAATTAAAATCATCGAGCAGGTGACGAGGGCGTGGAAGATCAGCGCCGGCACCGGGGTGAGCCAGCGCACGTGCACCAGACTGAAGGCGTGTAGGTGGTGGCCTTCGCGGGCCACGGCCATCATGACTCGGCTGCAGGAGAGCGCGGCGCTGTTCAGGGAGCCGAACACCGACAGCGCCACTCCGAGCGGCATCAGAAAGGCGGCGGGTCCGAGCACGCGCTCACCGAACGTGAAGGCCACCGCGTGTGACGACATCATCTGCTCCGGAGAGAGCACCGCCAGGTAGGCGATGTTGACCATGATGTAGAACAGGGTGACAATTGGCAGTGAGCCGAGAATGGAGAGAGGAAGGGTCCGCGGAGGGTTCTTGACTTCTTCGGTGATGTTGTTGAGGTTCTTCCAGCCTCCGTAGGCCCAGAGGCAGGTGAGGAAGGCGGCGGCCAGCTCGCCTGACGAGCTGGTGGTGCCCTGATATCCTGTGGCCAGGTGATGGACGTTACCTTGTGATAGTGAGTACACTCCTCCAGCCACAATAATGGCCATGGCGGTCATTTTGGCGACTGTGGAGGCGCTCTGCAGACGGGTGGACCAGTGCACTCCGATACAGTTGGCGGCAGTCAGCGTGAGAACAATCAGTGCTGCTAACAGCGACTCGAGCCCCACAGGCGGAGAACAATCGCTTCCATACCAGGGACGCACGCAGTACTGGGCGAAAGTAAGCGCCAGCACGGCAGTGCCGCCTGGATTGGACACGTTTACGTCCAGCCAACAGTGCAGGAAGGCAGGCAGCGCGCCCAGGAACGGGTGCAGCGGCCCGAAGGCGCGCAGCAGGTAGGTGAAATCTCCGCCGTGCTCCGGTAGCAGCAGGCCCAGCTCGATGTAGCAGAGAGCGCCGACCGCCTCGACCAGGCCGCAGACGAGCCAGATGGTGAGCGCGGCACCTACCGAACCCGAGTGCCGCAGCACGCCCGCCGGAGAGATGAAGATGCCGGCGCCGACGATGGAGCCGATGAGGATGGCTGACCCGGAGAGGGCGCCGATGGTGCGCGGCAGCTGCACGGCCGCCCCCGCCGCCAGCTGCTGCTCCTTCTGACGGCGCCGGCTGGCCGCAGCAGCTGCCGCGCGTGCCGTGGTTGTCTGGTCAGCCGTCTTCAGCTCTCGAGCGAAGCTGTCATCTGCGACGTACCCAGCGTTCTCCATTCAGAGGCCGGTCACTCCCACTTCAGTCACCTGTCCTCTTCAGTCGCCTCCCACTTCAGTCTTCTCTCCTCTTCAGACGGTCTCCTACCCAATCTCCCTTTCCCGGCCACCGATCAGTAGTGGTTCTTGTTCCAGCAATCCGAGGCAGTCGGTTCGTCGGGAGCTGTACGGTGATGGCCGGCGGGACGATATCGAGCAGGGACACCCGATAGCCGTGACCGTCGACTCCAACTGAGGGACATAGGGTTCACACCTGTGATCTACGATAATGAGGGAGCGGTACACATGTGCAAACATGCTACGACCGCAGACTGACTGCCGTGCAGATGCCGCACATGACTTCACTAAATTAAGCACGCGGGCTCAGTTAGGGCATACAGCTGCTAAACGGACCTCGTCAGTTACATATAATGCCTATATTATATATATATATATATATATATATATATATATATATATATATATATATATATATATATATATATATATATATATATATATATATATATATATATATAATATATATATATATAATATATGCCCTTAGGTCCTATATAATGCCTATATTGCGCATGGTTTGGAGGAAAATTATATATCACCTAGTTGCTCAGATAAGCTTGTTCGCAAAACTTGCATTCTTCCTTTTTAAAGTGATAAAACATTTCCTTTTTAAATGATAAATACAAATACGAATACAACTACAAATTCCATTTGCGCAGCTGATGCCAGCATTAAAATTGACTGCCCGACCAATGCACACAAAATTTAGGCTTCCAAGTAGGTACTTGGCAAACATTCGTCATTGTGTCAGTTCCAAGAAAACAGTTATCGTCAAGGACATTAAATCTTAGTTATATAATACCAAAATAAATAAAGGTGAATAGCAAGTGCCAAATACTTACTTTGCTATCAGAGCCGCGTGCTGTGACCCAGCCTCAGCTCAACGGCGTTGTGTTCTTACTCCCGCCACTCGCGGTCACTGTTCAGAGCGCTCCGTCCGGGCGGTGCGCTGGGAGGGCTCCATCACCTCTGTCGGCTCACTGGGACCGGTCCCAGCGACCACAGCCCGGGCCGACCGGCAGGTACAGTGAGCGTGTGTCGCCGGCTACCGCGCTGCAGCCGGGCGCCTCTGCCACGCACGGCCCGCACCAGCACAGTGTGGGACGGGTTAGGGTGGGTAATAGCACGGCCACGGGCAATGCCACCGCTCTCCACACGTAGGCATTATACCTCGCAGGGTGAAGGGTATGCTGTGCAAGATATGCACAATGTACAGTGCACAATGATAGGTGCAAGCCCAGAGCTCGGGGCTCTGGCCACGTTGACGTTTGGAACCAGTTGTGCAGCTGTGCAGCCCGCAGCAAACGGCGAGCGAGGTGCAGGTCAGCACGGGAGCCGTTCTAAAATAGAACATGACATATATAGGTACATACTAACGGCCAGTTGCAGCGCAGCCACAGCACGGACAGCGCGATTCAGAGGCGTGCACTATGGGGACGAGGAATGTCAAGCTCCCCGTCCCTCGACGCGTGGCTCTGGAAACCCATCCCTTTCGATGTCGTAGCCACTGGCGGATCCAGACTTGCGTTTTGGGGGGGGGGGGCCAACTCCTGCAAGTAACCAAACCTAGGGTACCCCCAAATCCTGTTTTCTCATCGGATTTAGGCCACTTATTTTTTCGTCACAGCCCTGAAACGATATTTTTTAAACTAAAAAAAAAAAAAAATATAGAAATGGTAGCCCACCCAACCCGAGCCTAAATATTACTTTGAAAACACTTCAAATTGCTTTTGTCGACCAATTAGCCCGCTCCGGGTCGGTGCGTGGCGCAGCCTTCGCGGGCTGGGAGGTGTCGGTTGGACCCCCTGCCGTTCGGCCCCTGATTAAGCTAGAGCTCGCGGAAAAAAAAACAGGCGTGTTGCCCGTGAGTGACGAGACGAAGCCGATGATACCCGATTTTAAGGTCCTTGGTCATTGGTTGACCTTCCAGGGCGGTGTTTCACGGTCGTGCTGACAGCCGCTGACAGCGCATTCTGCGAGCTAAGGTCAGCCTTCGGTAGTGTTGTGGGTATAGGCTTGTTGATGTCTCCATTGAAACCAAAAGTGCCATCAGCGCTGGCAGCGGCTGGCAGCGTGCCGTGAAACACCGCCCAGGTCAGGTCACAGACCCAAAAGACGGGAAAATCAGGACCTGTCAGAACCTCCTAAAGTAAGGCTGTAATACGTTTTTTTGTGCTGAGGCCTCTTGCACCAAATTCCTCTTGCACCAATGCTTGGATTATTTTGCATCGTATACCCAGTCCAAGTCTCAAATGTAACAATTTGCGTGCAAAGTTTAGCAAGCACTTGTAGGATTATGTGTTGGGCTATTGCAAACAAATTTACCACCGTTAGATTAGCTTATTCTGAAACCGGTTTTTCGATTTTACCTAGCTAGGTTGTTTGGTGCAAGAGGCCTCAGATCACAAATTTCATGTTAGTTTGGATCATAGATAATGTCTTCATGCGTTTAGGCCATGTCGGGGCAGGTCAGGTCAGATCAACCAGTAGGGGTACTTATGGGCGTCCGTATAGCAGGTGTCCACTACCACTGGCAGCTACGTAACATGATACGAAGGCATCAAAACTACTTCGTAAATGTTCAAATGGCTGCAAAATGTAAATTCAAAATCAGCTAAACGAAACTATCTAGAAACATGTTAAACTCGGAAAAGTGCACCGAGGTCATCAAAGGTCAATGACCTGACTTGACCGTAAGGTGACATTGGCATCCGCCCTAATGCGTGGGAGCAACATCATATCACATGTTTGAGCGTTTTAAACCACGAAAAGATATAAAAGCGCGGATAATGTGAGCCGACATACGCCGAATCGCTATTCCGGCCAAACATGGACTCCAACATGGCCAAACAGTCTCGAGAAATAGGCACAAGTCAAAGTTCACTTGGGTCAGGGTCATGAAATTTTCAGAATTTGTCACCATGAGGGTACTAAAGTTTCGTCGCGATCGGCTTCATGATACCTTACACGATAACTTCACACGTCGATCGAGAGTTAAAGCATGGATGAAGGAGAACCTGGGGATGAAGGTTCTTTCATCCATGGTTAAAGGTGCAATAAGAACTTCTTGGGTGAAGACAAGACCAACACTTTTATCAAGCTCACATATTTTTTAATGATACGGTATTCTCTCTACCTACTACGCCCTTCTCACATTCATTTTTCTTAAGTGTTTTTGGGGACAAAAAATATATGTTGTTCCCCTTTCAGGCTTGGGGGCATGACCCCGTGGCCCCCTGGATCCGCTAGGCCGAAATAACTAGGTCGTTTTCAAACGGTCTGATATTTCAGGTCATAGTTTGCAAACGGCCGGTGTTTTCAGGTAGTTTCATATGGCCTGACTGGGCCAGGCCGTTGCAAACGGACCGAATTTTCATACGGCCTGTAACATATATTCAGATTTCGACATCTGTCGTAGCATCAAATGCTGATGTGGCGACTCAAAAGCGGACATTGGTCTTGGATGCCGTAAGGACCCTTTTAAGAAATAA